GCATCCTCTTCCCGTTCGTCATTGAAGAGAAAGTCTCTCATGATCTCCTGAGTGTCTTCTATGTGAGGTCGTTGTAGGGACTCGATATTACTTCTAACATCCATGAGTCTGTTACATTTCAATAGAAAGTGCTCCATGTCTTCATTCTCCTCTCCACATAGTTGGCATAATGTGTCTTCATCGGTGTGTCGTCTTCTTTCTTGTAGGGGTAGCGAATTCGTTCTAGCTCGAAAGAGAGTGACCGCTGCTGGGGTGTTGTCATAGATAGTCTCTTCTCTTATACGTTGTTTGCTTGCTTTGTATAGCTGTAGGCTTACTTTGCTTCCTATTTCTTCCATCCATTGTTTTGCATCCCATTTGTTTATTTCTTTGTCTATATCCTTTTTGCTTTTATCTTTTAGGGCATGTAATCTTATTTGCAGTGATGACAGGTACTTCTCGGTTGTTTTCGCCCATTTGCTTTCTTTCCTTTCAAGCTCTATTTCCATTACTTTCTTTAGTAGTTCATTTCGTCCTTGCAGTGTCGTTCTTATATATTGAAGGTGACTTTTCATTATTCTTGTCTTCATTAGTGATGAACCGATTTCTCCTCTTAATGTGCAATTTGGTGCATATTTCGGTGCTCCTAGAATCTTCCTGTAGACCCCGTTTTCAATAGTCTGTAGTTGCTTGATTTCTGTTTCTGTAAGTGTCATAACATTGACTCCATATAGGATTGCTGGTAGGGCAATGCTTTTCCAATAGGTTTTCCCAATCATAATCTTATTACAACTTTTACTTATGATGCTATATGTCATATTTGACAGCTTATGGGCTTTCTTGATCATTAGGTTCTTCTGTTCCTTGAATACATCCTTCTTGTTGAGAATCGTCACTCCCAAGTATTTGACTTCTGTTGTAACAGGTATCCCTCCGATTTCTGTGATGTTCTCACTGTTTTCGCAAGTTTCATTTACGATCAATATCTCACTTTTTCTTTTGTTTACTTTCATTCCGTATTCTTCACTTGATGCTACAAGTACCTCAAGCATTAGCTCTGTTTCCTTCTTTGAATGAGACAGCATCAAACCATCATCTGCAAACAGAAGTAAGGGGAGATAGATATTCCTATCATTGTATCCCATTCTTGTGGCCATCAGCTTCCTTGCAATTTCATACGTGATCAGCTTGAACAGCGTGGTGCTACCAGTGCAGCCCTGTCTTATACCACTGGTTACTTTGAGTTTTTCTTCTGTAGCACTACTGAGCCTAATCGTTGTGAAGTCGCCGTGATATATACTTGCTACCGATGAGATAATATCGGGATGGATCTTATATCTTTGCATGACTTTGATCATTGGGCCTCTCTTGACTGAATCAAAGGCTTTTTCAAAATCAATGGCTGTCACATATAGCGGTCTCTTTCTTTTATAACTTTGTTCGACGCAGTAGCTTAGAAGAAAGAGATTGTCCTCAACACGTCCTCCAGCAGTAAAGCCTGCTTGAGTTTCCATTAAGGCTCCGTTCACCAGTAGATGTTCTTCGATTTCGTTTTTGATCATGCTCATATATATCTTATATGATGCGTTGGTCAGTGCTATTGGTCGTAGTTGCCGTGCTGTTGGTTTGCTTGTTTTAGGTATCATCTTTGTATGTGATCCTTTCCATGAATCCGGCTTCGTGTCAGATGTCAGTTCGTTTTGCATACATGTTGTTAGCACTTTAAGGCCTTTGTCGCTTTTGATTAACTCTTTGTACAGCTCGTTCTTCAGCCCGTCTGGCCCAGGAGTGGTTTTTGTTTTCGTTTTATTTATTATAGCCCTCACCTGCGCTCCATCAGGCTGAGGATCTTCCATTGGTTCAACGACATTGTTGATGTACATGGCCATGTCCATATGTTCGCATAGATGCCTAGGAAAGCATTTGTTCCGTGCCTGTTCTTTCATTTCCTCGGTATAACTTCGTCTTTCTTCTTCATTCCAATGCTCGTCAATATCGTTATTATGCTGCTGGTATATGCTGGTCCAGTAGCTGATAAGTTTTTCTTTCTCCTCAAGGTGGTCGAGAATTTTGGCATTTTCGTCATATAGACGTACTTCTTCTTTAATACGCTCTTTCTTCCTGAGTTTGTCTATATTTTCCCATAGCGATTTACTTTTGTTTTCACTGCTTCGAATTTCCTTTGTTATCTTTTTTTCTGTCACTGTTATTGCTTCTTTAATCAGGCGCTGTGTCTTCTGTTTTTGCTCTTTGTACTTTTGTTCAAGGGTGACTTTTTTAGCATCATCTATTGCATTTCTTTTCATGCGGTTCAGGTCCTTTCTTTTCTTTATTGCTTCTCTGATAGCTTCCGTAATCCATGGTGGCTCTTTCCTTGAATATTGTCTACTCAATCTCCTTTTGTAGACAGCTACAAGTAGAGTCTCTGCCACCTCTTTCATCATGCTGTTAAGCACTTCAAATTTTTGGACTTCTGTTGTCCTCAGCCTTCTATTCATCTCTTCTCCGAATTTCTGCATGGACTTTTGGTCCGTTTTCATGTAGCTCTCTCTGATTACTTTATCCTTTTTGAAGTTGTTGTCAACATGTGGTAGCTTAAAAGTAGTTGTAACCACATTATGGTCGGATACATCAGTTATTTCCTTTCCCTCATCCACTTGCATCCCTTGAAAGTATCTATAGCATTCTTTGTTTGAAAGGACATAGTCGATAACACTTTTTTGATCTTGTCTCGACCATGTAAACATACCTTGACATGCTCTGTCCAGATTTAATAGGGTCATGTTAAGGCTATCAATCCAATTCAGTATGATGCGTCCATTTTCATCTTCTTTCTGATATCCCAAGAGGTCAATATGTCCATTGAAGTCTCCAAGTACGATGGCTGCTTCACTTTTTTCCTGAACTCCTTCCAGAATTCCTTCGATTTCCTTTTTCATTTCTTGGTTGCGTATCTTGTCATCCATTGTTTTTATGATTGAAAAGTACACCAGAATCAGGTGAATCTTGAGGCTGTTTGCCTTAATCTTCCCGTACAGGATATCCACATTTTTCGTCTCCATCTTCTCTACCTCAAACCAGGAGTCTTTCCTGTATATCATTAGTAGACCACCCCCTTTTTTGTCTTGCTGATTTCTCATTTTTTCGATCTTTTCTATGCCATCTGGCCACATTAGCTTGTCATGCCTAAGTTGAGTCTCTGTCAAACACAACAGGTTTGCCTTTTGACTGACCATATCTATAATTTCTATCTGCTTAGCTCTGGTTAGCCCTTGAATGTTCAAAAGTTGGATGACAAGTATACTACCTTTAGCAGTCCTTTCTTCAAGTTCACTCTGCTTCTTTTTCTTCCTTACTTCACAGACTTGTTTCCCTTCCGTTCTACCACCTTACCATGGTAGATTACGTGGGTTTCTCTGCCTTTCTTGTTCCATTCTTCCCGTAGTTTTCTTTGTTTTTCCCGTTGTTCTGGGTCGAGGTCTCTCGATATGTATGTGTTTTCGATTCCCTTTCTTTTCAAATCAAATCTTCTTTTGTATAGGACTTCAGCTTCTTCTTTTGTGCCTAGTTTCAGCAGCATGATTCTGGGTTTATTTTGTTTGTTTTCCCGAGATTCCGTTTGGTCTGATCCTCTCGCCGCTGTGTCTGACTTTCTTGGGTGTCTTCTGAGTCTTAGGATACTTTTTATGCTTATGTTTGCTACTCCTAGTGCTTCTGTGATGTTCTTGACCTTCTTCAGGTCATCTTCTCTTTGTTGTTCACCGTTCTCAGATCGACTTTCGGGCACGTTATGGATGAGTATGTTGGTTGCTCTGTCTTCCGTATCCTTTGTTTTCATCACTTTCTTGATATCTTCTACTATCTTGTCAACTTTTGGTATGACATCAAGTCTTGCGCTGAGTGTGCTCACTACCTTTTCTACATGTTTTTCACATGTTTGTTTAGCCGCATCAGCATACGTCTTCTCTGAATCTCTTACTTCTCCGATGCTGCTCACTGCCAGGCTTTCAACCTTGCTGATGATTGTTTCATTTTGTTCATGTAGAGTATTCAGGTTCCTTCCTTGCAGCTCACCTAGCTGTACAAGGACTTGTTCATGATCATCCGCAGTTTTTTTTGATGACTCTCATTTGATCTTTGATGGTGTCTGTAAGAGCATCTATTTTTTCCTCCAGTTTCTTCATTTCTTTTTCTTTGTTTTTGTCTAGTCTTATCTTGACCTTGCATTCTTTGCAGATCCATGCTAGCGTATCTTGGTGCTCCTGCAGTGCTTCATATGCCTCAGATGTCACCCCCTGACATGTTCCGTGATACCATCTGTGACACAAGTCACATGCAACACCCTCATCATCATCTCCAACCGGTAAACCACATGTCACACCCGGTGCTCCTTTACATGTTTCCTCCTTACTGAGATCTACCGATGACCTGTGTCCTGGCTCGAATGGTTCATATGCACTCAAGTCCAACCTGCCTATCTGTTTTTCTTTTGGAGTCAGACTTTTAGTCTCTACTGATCTTTGCACTTTACCCCTGGGTTCGCCTTTCGGGTGACCTTTGTCGGCTTTGTTCATTTCCCTTTTATTCTTTGGTCTCAGAGTTGTTTGTTTCAGCATAGGGGTTTTCTTTGAGTTTGTTGGCGAGACGCCCATATCAATATTAGAATGAACTCTTACAACTCACACACAGATCTCAACTTAATATAGGTCGGTACAGTGCAAGTGCGGATCATACAGTCATACAGTCAGTGAAAGGCTTGCCTTCACAATCCCAATTCATGCAAGTGCACCAGCATTCAGCAGACAGCACCAAGGCGACAGCACCAGCAAGCACTTTTAGCTTTCATATACAGCCTTGCTTTTACTTCTTGTGTAGGTTCTGCCCAGCGTGCAACCAGCAACATGCGCCACTTTTCGCGTCCTCAGGCTACCTCAGTCTTTCTTTCATTCAACCCAATCAATCCATCCACTTCCAGTCGGATTTTCACAATGTCCCTTTTTTCATTGCATGCAAGTACTTACGGCTAGGATATAACCGGGTAGGATTATTTAAATAGGATCACTTCGACCACCCAGCTACTTCAATCTCACATCATTTTCAAGATTGCACTGACGAGACGAAACTACAATTCTGACGCGGCTGTGACGTTATAAATTTATAAATGTAGACTTAAATTTTGCATTGTGGAGAGGCGGTTATTGTGCTTATCGTCTTTTTTATTATATTATTCTTCAAGTAAACACGAAGTGTATTGATATTTCCGTGAAAAGCAGGTCAAGGTGAGAGGACGAATACAAACTAAAGTTGAAACTGTTGATACTTGGTACTGTTGATAGTTGATACTGTTGATACTTTATATCTGCTTATCCTGATGTTAAATGGCTTAGTCCTGATTTGTTTCTCATTCCAGTCCCAGGACCATTATAGGTAAATGGGATCGTCATTATATTTTGATTTTGTTCAATTCTTGTCAATTTTGATGCATCCTTGTCATCGTTTATACTAGATGAATGCATTCTGGGCAAGCAGCAACAGTGAGCAATGAATGTGAAAAGTGAGACTCCCACAACTTCTGGTATGCTTGTCACTTTTATAGCCAGAGTGAAGAAAGCTGTTGCAAAATGAACTCAAAATTAAATATAGCCTGAGCCATATTCTCACCTGGTTCATATCCAGACTGGAAAAATAGGTACACGTTATGCTGAATATGTCCGGCATAGTAGCGGGATTGCGCCATAAATTTCAACGCACATCCGGCATAACTTCACATGCGCCAAATTCAGCACATTCCGTCAGCTGAAGTTTTCGGCGCTGGGCGGCAGCATAATTTTTTTGGTCAAAGACTGTCACCAAATTTAGTTGGCATGCTGGTCAATCTAGCAGCAGATTCGCCCTGCGGGCGGCTGCAAAGAGCTTTCAGGGCGAGACGTCCCCGCCCTGCCCCCAGTCGTCACATGCTCGAACTGGCGAGCCGCCCTGAGTATACTCAGTGGAGAAGCGGCCGCCCGGGTGAGGCTTCAACCGGGCATGGAGATAGGTATGGAAGAGTGAAGACCTTGTTGAACATCGCCGAGCATCGTGAAGTAATACCGCAGTGGGTTCCTGCCCGCTGCGGTATCGAGGGGAATGAGAGTGCGGACGACCTGGCGAAACGAGCGGCCGCCCTCAAACGCCCGCTCGCTGACCAGGGCGGTTCATTGTGCGACCTCGCATCAATGGCGCGGCAACTGGTCCGAGTCACTATTCAAGCCACTCCTCGGGAGCACGCCGCCGCTCCCTATCCCCGGAGAGGACCGAAAGGACGCCGTTTCGGTGCACCAGATGAGGGCGAACCACTGGGGCCGCTCGCTCCAGTACGTGCACCGAATCGGCTGTCTCCACTCCGCGGCGTGCCAGCAGTGCCCACACAAGTGGTGTCCCGCGGTGCTCTGCGCCGTGTGCCGAGAAGAGGCTGATGTCGTCGCCAGCCTCTAACGCTGGGCCGGTCCCGTAGCTCAGTCGGTAGAGCGTTGGGCTCCGCGTGGTGAGAGCACGCGTTCCCGGTTATAACAGTCCGGGTTCGAACCGCGACGGGCGCGGCTCCTGACAGGTATGGTTGCGGTTGGTGGCAGGCCGTAGCTAGACGAAGTCGGTAAGGGGACCGGCCGTGTGCGAACTATGTGCGCACGTTAAACTTTGAACTCCAAATTCTGCCATAGAACTGGGATTGCGCGATCGGAGGGTAGAGGGCAGGGTCAACGCAACAAGCTTCACCTGGCGGGGGCTCTGTTTTGGTGAATCCTTCCATTCAAAAGGTTCAGACTGATTTTTTGAATGTGCTGGAGCGCGTGTTGCTCTGTTGCCCGGCCCTCGCTGGTTCCCGCCAGCCTCGAACACACTGTGCAGTGATCCGCCGATATTTGTGGCTCTGAAACTTCTGGCTCCGGCCTCGTTTCACAGCAGTGGCTACAGTTAAAGGGTGCGAAGTGTATTGATGTATTGTGTTTTTTGTTTTGTTTTGTGGGAATAAGAACTTATTCGGACGCTCAAACATGGGAGAACGTCTAAGACCCCAGAACGCTCTGTCTGGTTGATATAGACTTGATCGGTAGATATGTGCTTTATATAAGCGGTTTAATTTTGGGCACAAATAGGCACCCAATTTTCAGCGCAACTCATGCCGAAGTTTCAAAGCAAAATCGCTTGCGCCGAATGTCAGCGAAAGCGGGTCTCATAAGGCTTCCGGCATAGTGAATGGATGTTTTTCAGTCTGGGTTTATATGCTCAGAAACAAATGAACATAAAATTGTGGAAAGGATTAGCCACACAAAAATAACCTATTAATGTACCTATTTTGTGGTTCAGTGAAGTTGGTCGACCATGTTTATTTTGCTTAATTTCTTTTTCATTTTGTTTCAGACAATCACCATGGCTGCCGACCCTGCCAGAGAAAAGGCGCTGCAGGATTACAGGAAGAAATTGATGGAACACAGAGAAGTGGAAGGCCGCCTCAAAGAGAGTATGTTCGATGTGTTGGGTCTGTCTCAGTGACTTAGTGGTGCTGTTCTTCTCCTGATTCAATTTGTAGAGAGAGTCCATTTCAACCTGATTTAGCACTCACTGCTTATTTTTGTTGAGAATGAGTTACGCCATGGCCATCGTTGTACTGGGTGGTGACATTGAGCATACCACTGTCTGTTTTCAGTGCGCGAACAGCTCAAGGAACTTACCAAGGAGTATGACAAATCGGAGAACGATCTGAAAGCACTGCAGAGCGTGGGACAGATCGTCGGCGAGGTTCTCAAACAGCTCACCGAGGATAAATGTGAGCAGGGGATCGTGGAAGGGAGAGGCGGCTAGAATTAGAGTTTTTGGGAATACGGGGCATAACTTAAACTGAAACATTTGCCTTTTGATTGGCTTTCCTAACAGCCATTAACTAGTTGTATCGATGATAGTTCTTAGAAACATTTTCTCGATCTATGTTCACCGGAATAGTTAATGGTTATTTAGTTCTTCCTTAATTAATGCGCAATATGAATGCGTTTGCTTTTGCTAGATCTGCTGAATGCTGATTTCGACTATGCCGGTACGAAGCAGTCGTTTCCTAGCGCGTTCTTGCCACGTTACTACATGACGTCGCCCTGGGCTCACTGCGGCTGCTCACCCACTCATCCCCGTCCCCTGCTCCCCGATCAGTCATCGTGAAGGCGACCAACGGTCCGCGGTACGTGGTCGGCTGCCGGCGACAGCTGGACAAGACCAAACTGAAGTCGGGCACGCGCGTGGCGCTCGACATGACCACGCTGACCATCATGCGGTACCTGCCACGCGAGGTGGACCCCATGGTGTACAACATGTCGCACGAGGACCCCGGCAACGTCACCTACAGCAGCGTCGGCGGTCTCGGGGAGCAGATCCGAGAGCTACGCGAGGTGTGTCGGGCTGGAGGTGGTGCCACAAGACAGCTGCTGTAATGAGGGTGCTACTGAATATGGGACAACTTAATAACATTTCAAGCGTACATTTGAACTGGTAGACTTATTTGGATGGTCAGATTGACGCTTTTTTCGCTTTTGACAATATTAACAAATAACAAGATAATATTTTGTTCCCTCTCTTTTTTAACTGCCTGACCGTGCGTCACATGCCTTGTGACATGCCCTCACGTTGTTTGTCCCTTAACAGGTGATCGAGCTGCCCCTGATGAACCCGGAGCTGTTTATCCGTGTGGGTATCACCCCGCCCAAAGGATGTCTGCTCTACGGGCCGCCCGGCACCGGCAAAACGCTGCTGGCGCGCGCTGTGGCCGCCCAGCTGGATGCCAACTTCCTCAAGGTGCGACCTCTGACGGCGACACTAGGGTCTGGATCACGGCTGCAATCAATATTTACCGTGCTACTCTACATGTGATTAATTTCATGCCAGTAATTGAGTGTTGAGTTTGATGGTTGTTTTAAAAAGTATGAAATGATGCGATGCCACTGAGTCGCTGCCTAATTGTTAAACCATGGAATGAAGAGTAGACCATGAATGGAAGATGGATAAAAAAGAAGGCATTTCTTTATCCATGTTAAGACAGACGAACTAACAGTGTGTGTGGCTGCCACCAGGTGGTATCGAGTGCCATCGTCGACAAGTACATCGGCGAGTCGGCACGTCTGATCCGCGAGATGTTCAACTACGCCAAGGACCACCAGCCGTGCATCATCTTCATGGACGAGATCGACGCCATCGGCGGCAGGAGGTGGGTGCAGCTGATATGATGGGAGTTGGATGAAATCTGCCGACCAGCGAGGGTGCTCGTTAGACTGGGGCGCCTGTGGTATCGCTGATCCTCGGAGATTTTGGCCTTTGGAGCGTTTGTAAAATAACGTCGTTTGGTTGTTGTGGTTCATTTTATTAGCAAAGTTCACTAAGCGGGTTTACGAGTATTATTCGTAAAGTACCTGGATGCTGAAGGCTAGTAATCAGTGCGAGCACCCGCAAACTCAACACTTTTTATCATTAAGCCGGTGAAAGTCCTTTTTGTGTGTTTTGTACAGTGTACTTGTGGCGGTGGACGGTGACCGTTCCGGTCTATCGGCAGGTTTTCGGAGGGCACCTCAGCCGATCGTGAGATCCAGCGGACTCTGATGGAGCTGCTCAACCAGATGGACGGATTCGACTCGCTCGGACAGGTACGGAGCTACATAAGTGGGACTGGAGGTTCGTGTGAGTTGGCGTGAAATGAGTGACGTGATATCATTGTTCAACATTCTTTTGTTAACCAACGTTCCCGACTCGACATATATACATAGACCCTCGGTGACCTTGTGGGTGTACAGGAGTCTTTGGGCACGCTCCTGTCCCAAACACCAGCTTTCGTCCCTCAGCCTGCCCCTGACCCCACCATCCGCTGCCCCTCGACCGTCCACAGGTGAAGATGATCATGGCCACTAACCGTCCGGACACTCTGGACCCGGCCCTGCTGCGACCCGGCCGACTCGACAGGAAGATCGAGATCCCGCTGCCCAACGAGCAGGCCCGGCTGGATATTCTGAAGATCCACGCCGGCCCCATCACCAAACACGGCGATATCGGTTAGTGACTGGTAGATGAGGTTTTGTGTGGGATTTGACACGACTGGTCCCGCGGATACAGGGGATGCACTTGGTTGCATCAGTGCGCTGAAAGACGCCCTCGTGTTTCTACTTTCAGCTTGTATCTTTGGTGTGTAACCACTTTGTCTTCGCAACGCCGCCGCGTCCATACTTGTTGCTAGAACCTGCTCAGTCAACTACTTTTTTTTTGGGGGGGGGGCAAACAAATGCTGTCCCACTGTTCGTGTCTAACCTTCCTCTTCCCCTGCTTCTCGCACAGATTACGAGGCCGTGGTGAAGCTGTCGGATGGCTTTAACGGCGCCGATCTGCGGAACGTGTGCACAGAGGCGGGCCTGTTCGCCATCCGCGCCGAGCGCGAGTACGTCATCGACGAGGACTTCATGAAGGCTGTCAGGAAGGTGGCCGATAACAAGAAGCTGGAGAGCAAGCTCGACTACAAACCCGTCTAGGGTGGGTGGGGATGGTAAAATAGAGGTATCGGTCATCTCAGTTGTCTTCGTCATCCTTCGGTGAGGCAGTGTTTGTAAACTGTGGCTTGGGATGGCGGTATTTGAGTACCCAGCTGAGGTGCTTGGGTTCATTTGCAGTCCGACACCGTTATAACCGCTGAAGAGCCTTTCCAGAAGCGGCCGCTGAGCAGACACACGGCCGTGACTCTGCCGCTGTACATATTCAGACTGCTGGCGTGTTTCTGACGTCAAGCACCGTTGTGTTTCGAGCCGCCGCCTGCCGGTCGAGCGACCACCTACCGGCTGCAACCACTTCTCATGTCGACAAATAAACTGACACGATCGGAACGGTATGTATTGGCCTAGTAGCAGATAGTGAGCCGCACGCGGCGCCTCCAAAAAACGGGCACCCAACGAGCGCGGCGCGACCTGTCCGTCCCGCGGACACAACTCACTGGGAGCGGGGCGGCCGCGCCGACGGCACATTACCGGAGAGTTCAGAACACGGACCGGCGACAGAGCCGCCCGGCGTCAGCCCCTCCACAGGGCAGACGCCGGCTCCGGAGAGCTCCCGGCCGCCGGCGAGCGGGTCATGTAAGGACACAGTTATAGCGGCGCGCCGCGATCATACGATCATCTCCAGCTCCCGGGCGTACTCGATGGTCTGTTCGGTGAGCTCCAGCGAGGCGACGCCCTCCTCGTGGTGCACCTTCTTCTCCCGGGGGAAGAGCACGTAGCCCTGGGTGTCTGAGGTCCAGCCACGCTGTGGGTATGGAGAGCGACCGGTGGTTAGACGCGTGTAAACCGAACGGGGTACAGCCTGGACTGGAGACTAGAAGAATGCACGGGAACGACTTTGTGAAGGCGGTAAACTCGGTAAAGTCCAACTTGAGCACCGCACAAATTGAATTTGTCGTGGACAACGAATTATTGAATGCCTCTCGTGGCTAAGAAGTTTATTTTCCGGACAATATGGCCGAGACCAAATGGGCATTTATTCCAAATCCCATAACACCATGTTCGCTTCGCAGCGACTGACGTAAAGTACTGCACTCTCCCCCATACATAAACAGCATCAGCCGTCCCCTTCCTGGCGTCTTCACCATCCCAGACGCCTACCTTGGTGACAAAGGCGGGCAGGTCGGCCTTGCTGGCGAGCCCCAGCATGCGGACCACCTCGTCTGCCGACATGCGCTCGTAGGCCTTCTCCATGCAGGCGCCGATCTCCTCACGGATGGTGGCCAGCAGCAGGTCCACGAAGAATCGGTAGTGTACCGCCGGCACGCTGCTCTTGGCCAGGAAAATCTGCCGAAACGAAACCGCGAAGGTGCGTGACCATGTTGGATTGTTACTGTGCAGGTGCTCAGAATAAATGAAGTCTAATTAAAACCGATTCACAAACGTTTGACGTGACCACGACAAAAACACATCACTGAAACCTTTCAATGCCGGGCTGCTAGAGCCCGCTGCAATCTCACCTTGTTATAGCTGCTGCCCTCCATGAGGTACTAGCCCGCTGTAATCTCACCTTGTTATAGCTGCCCTCCATGAGGTACTGTTCCAGCGCCACGGGGTACTTGATGTAGACGTTGTTGTGGATGGCGTCGGGCGGCAGCAGCTCCAGCTCGGTGTGGAACTCTCCCACCCGGTTCTGTGCGAGCAGCGCCAGCAGGTTCAGCCCGAGCAGCTGCAGCTGGTAGGCCGACTCCGGCAGCTGGGAGCCCCTGTCGCCAGCGAACGACGAGGTCAGACGAGTCAGATGGCGGAGAGCACAGAAGAGGTAAGCACTGGGCTAAGTAAGACAGTCGGGTTGCGTGAGAAAAGGCCGGAATCGCTAAACAGATCGTAACCAACGTAGCAAACATTCTTTGCCACGTCGAACATGGCTGTACTCGTAATATTTCAAATAAGGAAAGGCGAATGATCTCATTATGCAATATATTAACGGTGTATTGCATGCTTGTCTAGGTTCTCGAGATCGGCACTTAAACCACATTTAGGGCTAAAACGATAAAACGCCGCGCGAAAATATCGTCACAAACAACAAGATCGCGCAGTCAAGCCACAATACCTACTTGTAGTCATTGTAGTAGCACTTGAGTTGCGCCATATACCGCTCGAAGGCCGGGATGTCCTGCCGTTCGACGGCGCACTGGACTCCGATCTCCAGCACGTCTCTGGCGATGATGAGCTCCTGCTTGGTGGCCTCCGAGTGCGAGGTCGGCAGGAAGGTGAGAGAAATCATCGCCAGCTGCCGAAGGTGGACAGAGGGAGTCAGCGGTGTAAGAATCGAACGAAAATCCAACAAAGACAGGGGGATGTTAAGAATTAGAGACCAAAACACTTAAATATGTCATTTTTTTATCTAGCTAAAGCATGTATCTCTGTACCAAACAAGCCAACAATTAAGAGCATTTAGAAGAAATACACTGGTTCCTCAGTTTCCTGGTGTCAACACTGAACAGTCAATCAAATGACTCAAGCCCCTCCAGCCAAACAAAATAGCTACTTGCATACCTGATACCTGATTAATGGGATCGGATGAGGCACTAGGATGGCCTGGTAGATCCGTCTAATCGAGCTCGGGACGCGTCAACAAGCTTGATCTATTGGTTTGCTTGATACTGGAGTTCTCTCCAGTGCTTGTCAAGCCGGTTTTTGTAGCTGTTGGTTGACGGTGCGCAGACAACATCTTCAGGGAGGCCGTTCCAATCAGTCACTACCCGGGCTGAAAGGTGCTGGCGCCTGACTCGGTTGGTTGCAGGCTTCTTGGCGATCTTCAATCTGTGGCCGCGAGTACGCGTTGTGAGTGCAGGCGTGAAGAAGTCGTCCTTGTTCAAGTCGCAGCGACCGTGGATGATGTTGTAGGTCGTGATCATATCGCCGCGACGGCGCCGGTGTTGCAGGGACGGAAGGTTCAGTCTTCTCAGCCTTTCCTCATACGGGAGGTGACGGAGCTCGGGGACAAGGCGAGTCGCTCTCCTTTGTACTCTCTCGACCTGTCGCCTGTCCGCAGCATTGAACGGGCCCCATATCTGATTACAATACTCCAAGTGCGGACGGACCAGTGATTTGTAGAGTACGGGAAGCGTCTTTCTGTCGATGTGCGCGAAGCTGTGCTTGATTAGTCAAGCATTCGGTTGGCCTTACCGATGGCAGCTGCTGCTTGTTCCCTGAATTTCAGCCGTTGATCCACGAGAACGCCCAGGTCCTTCTCGATTTCTACCGCCTCCAGGGGTGTGCCTGCGATGGAGTATTCAGCCCGCGCATTACGACTGCCTAGGTGCAAGACCGTGCATTTCCTTGGGTTAAAAGGGAGTCTAGTCTCCATCTGCGGGACCAGGCCGCCAGGGCATCCAGGTCATTCTGCAGTCTTATGCGGCTTTGTTCAGTGCTAGCTTCAACGTAAACCTTCGTGTCGTCGACGAAAAGCCTGCAATCACTGGTAACAGCTCGAGGCAGATCGTTCACGAAGATGATGAATAGCACCGGTCCCAGGACCGTTCCCTGCGGGATGCCGCTGCCAACATCAGTCCAGCCGGAGAAGCTCCCATTCACCACAACTCTTTGTCTTCTTCCCATCAAAAACGAACGGAGCCAGTCGAGAAGACCGCCCCGGACGCCCATGTCGTGGAGCTTTTGAATAAGCCGGAGGTGAGGGACCGAATCAAATGCTCGCCGGAAGTCAAGGTAGGCGATATCCACGGGCTTACCTTCCTCCATCTGCCGGGTCCAGTCCTCGAGTGCACTCAACAGCTGTGTTGCACAGGATCGTCCGCGTCGGAAACTATGCTGGCAGTCGGTTAGTTGGCCCGGTGTCCGTTAGATGTCTGAACAGCTCGTCACGCACGATGGACTCCAAAACCTTTGATGTCACCGACGTCAAGCTAACAGGACGGTAGTTGGATGGGTTGGTACGTGGCCCCTTCTTGTATATGGGGACGACCTGGCCCTTCTTCCACTCGAAAGGGACCCTGCCAGCTTCCAGTGAGTGATTGAATAGATCGGTCAGTGGTGGGCTCAGAGAGGATGCTAACTCCCTAAGTCCCCATAGATGCTAACTGCCCCCCCCCCCCCCCATACTAGCCATTAACACATGAAAATCAGACACATATGCGTGATAGTGTAATCATGTCCAGAATGCTTTCAACTTTCATGCTTCTAATTAGCTACTTACCTTTGCTTTGGTAAGAAGATCCTCACATTTCTGTAGATTCCTTGATTTTGATGACCATTCCTTGACCAGACTCTGATGAATTTTTACAACATCATTCAGTGATGCCATATTCTTTTATAAGTGGATATAACTGAAAGAAACAACATGCAAGATGCATAGGTATAATTGATCATACAATGAAAACAATGAACAAATAATATTCAAAATTATATATTGAATACACTTAACATTACCGATGTCCTGTGTTCTACTTGAAGGACTGCTATGACACACATAGGTATCTATGGTAAAAGACTGAAAAGATCTTTTCCCAGTACCTATCACTCTTAGTTTTAAGCACACCCTAGGTCTCAAAGACTTCATTAAGCTGATGTGATGATGAAAATATAATGGAAACATAGGATCAGTCATCAATGATACAACACACATTAGGATAAATTAGCAATTCACCATTTAAAACAAAATGTCCAGAGGGGTGTTCACGGGCACCGCACACTGCTGCGTGCGCTGTGTGCGGTGCGTCCAGCAGGCGTGGGGGTAGGGGATGGGTAGGCGGCTCTGACGTCACGGCTGCGTGCGGTGGACGGTCCGCTGTGGCCAGTCCCGACCGGCCACAGCGATCGCTGTGTGCGGTGACGGAAGGCTGACGTAGGGACGAAGTGGGCGGAGCTTCGAGGCTGTGTGCGGTCCGACCGCACACAGGGCCCGTGAACAGCCCTCAGAAAACACATTGATAATGTGTTTGCAAATCTTTCAATAATTTTAAAATGAGGACATTGCACAACTTTTGTCTTCATCAAATGATCAAGGAAAAGGCCATGTGAATCACCACCTAAATAACAATAAAGAACATGAATGTGCTGAGATTACGGTAGGCTTATGAGTTATGCATTGTGCTGAAGATTCAGCTTGAATAACACAAAGCAAATAGATCAATGCCATCTTCACACTATTTAGACTTGGTTCACCCATTAACCTTAATATGCACACTGTAGAAGAACCCATCTAATCCATGCTAATTGCATCATAGCGATCAACGGAACTGGGTACGGCCAAAACAATGCAGACATGAAGCAATGCAGTTTAATTGAACCTAAACCTCAGTCATAATGCAGCTCGATTTGTTACCAATAACAAATTTACTTAAAAATACACAGCATAAGATACTTCTTGACTCATTTACCAAGTGTTGTAGATGACACTGGATCTCAATTCTCAATTTTTAATAAAAAAAACATCCCATAATTCCAAATCCTAAAGCAAACTGAGGCCAGCTCTCAGTGCAACTCAAGCTTATTCTATGCAGTTTTGACATACTCACCTTGATATTTTGTGGACGATCAAGCCTCAGGTGATCAATGATCAACCGATCAACCGTGGTATTAATAAATAACCTTATTTACACCACCCCCAAGCTCTCAGTTTTCAGCCTTGTTTCAGCCCAAGTTCAGCCGGTGATTGTGTTTTCATATTTAAAGCGTCATATTTGTCGAAATTGGTAGTCACCGGTAATTGAGAAACGGCCGCGAAATGATCTTTCATATTCGCTGGCTCTAAGATGCACCGTGCATGTACACTTTTTTAGAAAGTAAACAGAATCCAGATAAATTAGACATATAAAATGTTAATTATCATTGCAGAACAAGCCATTGCATTTTTTGTCACAGCTGCCAAAAAAGAAGCCGGTCCGAAACAGATCCCACGAACTCAGGCACGAGGCTCTATGCAGGGTATATTGACTTACAGTCCCTCGTGTCATGGCGGTTTGATGGCGGTCATGGCTGTGATCAGCCAATAAAAAATTATGAGCCTTTAAAAAAAATCATCAGAAAAAGTGAGTGCTTTCACACAACAAGAAACGTTCCGGCTCAACCTTGGACTTCAACTAGCTGCGGCTGCTTCCACCAAACGCTGATCCATTCCAGTCAGTCGAGCACGAAAGGAATACAGGTCTCACCACAAAGGGTCCAACTTTTCTGACTAAGCCGCTACGGCACAATGCTGAGATGCAAATGATGAAAGGACAAAGCATCGCAGTAGCTTATATATTTTAGACTACAATGGCCAAGCAAAACCAGGACACCCGGTTTCTTGTCAAAGTGACGCGCAGCCAGCAGTTGCTCTTCCGTGTAACGCCGCTGTCTTGTCTTCTCAGGCGCACCCTGGCTGAGACAGCGTGCACAGGATAGCCATCCAGGTCTCACAGTCATGCTGCTGTCGGGTCTTGGCTTCTATGGTGCTGAATGTGCGTTCGATCCGGAAGGACACTAAGACGCATCAGGCTCGGAGGGGACCCCGTGCGGCAGATCGATCCTCGAAAACGAGCATCTCCGTTAAAATGGCGATAGAAAACTGATAGATGCCTTGTTCTCACCCTCCCATGTGTCAACTCACGGTATTGTGTCAACTGAGCCTAGTTTAGGAACCATAATGAAAAATAACGAAAAAAAAAACTTCAGATCAACAGACGTGACTTTATTGTTCACAATATGCACAAAACACAAATTTATGGTGTTCAACCCTACAAGTTTTTCTTGAACAATGCTTCACGCGCAGCTCTTGTGCATTCACCCAAGTTGATAAGACACTATGCCCGGCGATACGATCTTCCATGATTTCGACAAGTCACGGGTCGACACAAGTCAAAACCAGAGCCGGGCCATCGACAATATTCTCACATCAGGCATAGTCCACGACGTTACTTGTAGATTCTGAACTCAGCAGCACTCGTCTAAACGCAAACACAATAATGAATCATCATACACGACTGACGACTCAGACATGAAGACAGCGCTCGGAAGAACGACACAACTCTGGAAACTCGTTAAACCCCAGATCTCGTGAGCGGCACACTCTGAGAGCACAACTGGCAGTGTCACTGTTGAGCATCAACCGCCTCCCAGTTGTACGGAGTTCGCAGGGAATAGGGAGGGTCATCCACTGGTATGTACTTCTCCCCAAGACAGTCCGCTGGGCGCAGACCACAGCCTCCGCCCTCTATCAGACCATATACCACCGCCGACAGTTTGGTCCCACTCGGTGACCGCTCGTTACGCATGGTTCGCGGAGTGTAGGAGCGCCGACTCAGTCCTTGGCGTCACCAATGCCGTCCGCGTTGATGGCAAACATGGCCTCGGACTCGGGCAGGCACGGCGAGTCGTAGATCTTGCATATCCGCGTCTCGCCACGGCCCTTGCGCAGGTACAGTCTGCCGGGGAAGGGACATTAGCGAAACGTCTCTTCCGAGAAGGAGAAATCATGGTTTACCAGACAGAGTTAGCCAAACGGTGACATTGAAATATGCCGAAACAGACGTCACTGGCCATTAATATACGGTAGAGAGAGAGAGAAAAAAAAACATATGCTTCCGACTCAATAATTACGCGAGAGTCGGTAAATTCGCTTTAAGAAAGCACATTTTACCCGTATTCGTCTCTTCGTCTCTCAACACTCCCGTCTTTCCCGACCTCCCGCCTTCCCGCACTTTTTCCCTGATTACCTGGTGGTGGAGGCGTGCGCCATGATGTTGCCTCCGATGGGTTTCTTGGGGTCGGCGGCGAACATGGCGGCTCCGTCCACTTGCGCCACCACCTGATTGGTGATCACCACCGCCACACCAAACTCGTCCGCCAGGCGCAGCAGCATGCGCAGAAAGCGCGCCAGGTGCATCTGGCGCGCCGACAGCTCACCGCGGCCCGTGTAGTCAGTGCGGTACAGAGCCGTGGCGCTGTCGCAGATCAGCAGAGCGTATCTGCACGCAGGGGAGGACAGGAGGAGGGGTTAGAGGTCGGAGGGACTTTTCACCATTTGACTTTTCTTTAGGCTTGAATAAGAACGAAAAACTAACCAACCTCAAAAGATGACCCAAGCACGTCGGAAAACATTTTCGTACCCATTTGACGACATGCATTAAGACCGATTTAAGATTAATCATAATCTATGAGCAACAACCCAGCAAAAAAGCCCGAATGAGAATAATCCACCACCAAAACATTGCCAGCACAAACTGCAACTATGTGATTTAACCAGGCGGTGAACATTTCTGCTTATTTTATTTCTCGACATCTTGAGTTCTCACCCCTCCCGCCCCCGAACCATTCCGCCGGTCCGTTCCGCCGCCTCCCTCCTCACCTGGACTCAGTCATCATGGCCGAGGCCTGTATGAGCAGCTGGGTCTGGTGGTCCGTGTTGTAGGCGCGCGCGTACGCCACGTTGTCGAGCACGTCGGTGCCGCTGAGGCCGTACCGCTCGGCCACGGCCATGAGTCGCTCGGTGCGGAATGTGCCCTCCGTGTCCACGTACAGACACTTGCCCTCGCCGCCGCCCATGTCCACAGGCAGCTGACACGTGACCGCCAGCATGTGGCACAGCTGCGTCTTGCCTGATCGGGCGACCGAGCAGGGTGATAGGGTGAGTGCGAGTATAAATAAACTGAGCGGTTGGATCAAATTATTTTCAAACGATCGACATAATGCAGCGATCATACCCGAGTTAAATAATATAACGGAGACGTGTAGAAACAAATCGCGTTTTAACTGCCGATTTCCGTACTTACGTAAAAATAGAAAAGCAAAACTGCGCGCTGTTCGCAATATTCTACCCTAACCTGTTCTGACTGTGACATCTCATTACGATAAATCCGGCACCGGTTCGGCGACTGACCTGTGCGGAACTCTCCGAAAAGCTCTGTGATGGATCCCGTCTCGATGCCGCCGCCCAGCAGCTTGTCCAACTCCTTGGAGCCCGTCGTCAGCTGGATGATCTCGGAGCGCTTCTGGTGAAACTCGGTGGCCGTCGTGAAGCCCATCGGCACCAGCTTACTAGCCTCCAGCTGAAGGAAGGTCAGTGGAGGAATATCACATGACTGATAGCAGTGTTATGGACATATACTGCTTTCTACATGACTGGCTGTCAACATCTAACAGTTAATAGGTGATCTGATCGTGTCAGCTTTACAAGCTGGGTCATTTAAATAAAGGAGATTGTCAAGAAGCGCAGTGGCAAACCACTTTTGAAAATAAATAAAGCTAGGCAGAATGCATTTATCAGCTATAATTAGTTAAATGAGACAGCTATATTGGCTGCTCAACAGCCAACACCAGATGATGTGCAATAAAATATAGCCACTAACATATCTGTTCAAAAGTGTGAAAGCTGTGCAATTATGAATAGCCAAAACCAGAATATAACCAATATAACTGAAGTGATAGAGATAGGTGTAAGCTAGTGATGGCCCATCACTGATGGGGTGGCTTTGGTATTGCTTACAAGTATTTTGTCAGCCTTGGCCTCACTGATGCCTTTAATTCCCAGGAGCTGCTTCTTGGGAGCAAATGCAACTGACTCCACAGTGTGAAAGCCAGCTTCAGCCAGTTTCTTGACATCAGAGGCACTGATACCATGACTCTGCAACAGCCAAGATATGGATCAGACAATGATGCAACAAGTCATGCACTGATAAGTATAAGGTGCTTAGGTAGTACTGTGTGTATGTCTAATATCTATGACAATGAAAACAACTCAAATAAGTCATATGTTTTTATTTTTCATGCTCATCAGTATTCAGTAGGTAGGCATCAAGCATCAATGACATTACAAATTGCATGTAAATAAGTACTTCATATAGCAACATTTGCGAGAAAAGTAATTAGCTAAAAAATCATATATATGAATTAACATGATATTTTTGACCAAAATTGAAACATACCTCAAGCTTATTTAGCAGCATTGGACCAAAGTCATCTTCTTCTTCAACAGCTGCAACAGTTTGTTCTGCTTGAACCATTGCCATTTTCAATGATCCTGTAAAATGAGGAAAAATTGCATTCCATTACATACAAGAACACCACAGAATACAAGAACATCCAGGAAAGTCTCATTCATTTTTTTTTTCATTTTGCCTTTTCAATTACAAAACATCAGGGACAACCACATAATTGGCATTGGCTTACTAATGCAAGCACTTGCTTACTGCTTGACTCAACTCTTGTAGTTGTCTCGTGCTAACAAGGGAATAGCTAGGGATAATAATGCAAAAAAAAAGTAAAAAACAAGTAGGTGTTACAAAAAACAAGTAGGACCTATCACCTATGATACAAAGCTTCTGTCCACTGCTGGGGCACTTCAACATATATTTGTAAACGCCAAAGCAAATCAAAATATAAAACAAAAAGGTTTGTCCCAATTCCTCCAATGGATACCTATTATTGCACCAAATGACAAACCACGCGAAACGGCTGGTGCAAAGACACCGCTCGCAAAACCGCTGTACTTTTCAACACCGAGTACCGACCACCTAAACTGAAACTGAAACCAAACTGAAACCAAAACGCGCGCAAGCCCAAACAGGAATCACGTCAATTCCCGTCTTGATCCGTAGGGGAATCAGCTTGGAATCACGGCTTGGAATATCGTGAAAAATCTTGGTTTGGAACAAGAATCCTATATATCTCAATCTGTATATCTATGAAACAGTTCTCTATACACCGTGTATTGCCGTGTATGCAAGGCCCGTGTATGGTATGAAACAACACATCAAAAGCCGCGCTCTTTTTCTTGTGCTCTTGTGCTAACATGTTCAATCCTCGGCCTAATAGGTAGCCTTAAGGATTTGTAAAATACAATTCAAATAACGTCACAGGCACATCAATTCACGGTCTGTCATTCGTCTGTTATCCCGCGGTCGGTAAAAGCTATCATCTGATTCGTTTATTATGAATGACGTCATCAGTTTTAAAGGGACTTAAAAGCAATCTCTTTTCGGGCTGAAATGTTTTTGGATGCTACTAATTACTCTACCGTAAATTATGTTACGAGGTTTTCGGAATAAAATATATTTCATCCTCGGAAACAGTTTTTTTTTTTTAGAACAAAATTACATAACAACTTATAAATGATCGTATATTTGATGTTTCTCGGCAAATCAGTAAGAAAAATACCAGTAGGTTAGTAGAATACGCTGATACTCTTGATACTAAGGCTAGTATCTAGTAGTAGGTTTGTCTAGAGTAAGGCGTTTATGCCGCAGCAAGTTCAAAAATATATTTTATGGCAGCGCCGGCGCGCCTTGAGGTTTACATAATTAAAATATAATCATTTTTGGTGGAGATACTTCGCTAAACGGAGGTAAGATTCCAATTCTATGCGAGTGTTTTGGTTGGTATGCTGAGAATGAAAATATCAAGGCAGTATGAAGATATTGTTGATTGGGTATCACAATCATAACATTTGAAGTCTTGAAAGGTGGAGCACAGCACAGTAGATACCTACCGTCATTCGGGGTGACTTTGTAAAACTTTTGCTATTTTCTTCAATGCAGGGGAGATCTGAAAAAATATTTTGAACCAGGGTTTGTTCTAAGATACCAAATGGGGAATTCTGTGCATGATGGTGTATATCTGAATATTTAAAATCACTCCCTTATATTTTATTTTTTTGGTTAAAAAATTATCATTGTCACACCAAGGTCGGGGTGACTATGATACCCCTCATTATTTGCATTGTAAATGAGTTGACTGGTCAAACAAGCACAGCAATGGGGGTGTCTATGATAGGTCTGTTTGTTTTAAAAAAAGCATTTTGCACCAATGCAAACTTGATGTCTTTTTTCTTCAAAACATAAAGTGATCACAATTCACCCACTTTCGGACGCATGTGGTCACAAAACACTTAAAAATAACACTTTAAAAATGTCAAACTGTAACTTTTGTGGGCAAGCACAACTGGCAAGGAGCCAAACATGTCACAAATGGTCACATCTTCACGTCTTGTGTGGTTTTCCTTCTCACCAGGTACAATCACAGTACTCTTCCACGACTGCGGTAGCATCGTTCATTTCACTTTGAATGCATGACACATGGTACCATTTCTGGCAGTTTTCACACCCTTCCCACTTGATGTTCTTGTCCCCTGTGGCTCCAGGGGGGTTCCACCTCTCACAGATACTACACTTTTCCTCCTCCCCTGAGTCTGGCTCCTCTGCTGACTCTTTTCTCTGTCTTGCTCAGCGAAGCTTTGCTTCTTTGGTTTTGTCCCTTGCTTTGTCCTTTTCTTGTGTCCCAGACCCTGATGGCTTGAGGTGCTGTGCCTGTACTACCATCCCTGCAAGAGCAGAGATCCTTTGCCCCCTTTTCCTGTGGTTCTGTGGTTTTCCTGTGGGCTATCATAGTCACCCGGGGCATTATCATAGTCACCCCGACGATCTAAGTCACCCCGAATGACGGTACCATGCGCGATTAGCAATTTCAATTGGCCCAAATCAAATTCATAAATTCACTTCTTGTGGGGAGGCATTTGGAGAACTGATGGAGCAAGGGGGTTGTACCCCCCTTGCCGATTTGCCCCTGATCAGTGATCAAGCTAGGGCTCCGTGAAAAAAATGTGTGTTGCCAGTGACGGGAGGGAGCCAATGATAGGTACTCACCCAATTTATAGGTATTTGGTTATTGGTTGACTTTCCAGGTCAGGTCAATGACCCAAAAGTCAGGAAAATCGGGACTCGTTAGAACATCGTAAAATGTGGCTGCTGTGTGGTATTACGGGATGGTGATCAGGAATATCATGTTAGTTTTGATCACAGATGATGTCTTCATGTATTTAGGGCAGGTTGGGTCAGGTCAGGTCAGGTCAACCAGTAGGGGTCCTGCTCCTGACAGGTATTTGTAGTAGGTATCACTAGCCTCTGACAGCTTCATAACATGTTATGAAGGAACCAAAACTACTTCATAAATGTTCAAATAGCTGCTAAATTCAAATTCAGCCTCAGAAGCTAGCTTAGGAATGTGAAACTTGAAAAAGTGAGCTGAGTTCCTCAAAGGTCAATGAGCTGACCTGACCTTTGGGTGACCTCGACACCCACCCTAATGCATGGGGCGAACATCATATTACATGTTTGAACAATCACGAAATGACTGTAAATGCACAGCTAATGCGAGCCAACATAAGCCGAATCGCGATTCCGGCCCAAAATGGTCTTGGAACGTAGGTCACAGCTCAAAGGTCATTTGGGTCAGGGTGTAAAATTGATTAATGGAGGGTACTAAGTTTCGTCGCGATCGGCCGCTTTTTACGCGAGTTATTCGCGAAAAAACCGAGGGGGTCCGTTTGACACCCCCCCCCCCCCTATAGGGGCGGGGGATAAGGTACCAGTCACTGCGTCTTATAACGGTGTACATGCTCTTTTTCTCGGGAGGCTCTAGCTCAATTAGGGGTGAAACGGCGAGGAGGGGGACGGGGGTCGTACCTACCCCTCCCCACCGCCCTCGTTCGGGACGTATGTAAAGCCCCAATAGGTCCGGCGAGGGCTAAATTCAAGTTTCTTGATACCGAGCACGATTCCTGTGTAAACTGTTGTCCCAGGACGTTGTGAATGCTTTTCTCGAAACACTGGCAGTCATTTGCGCCATAGTTAGCGCTAGCAACCCGTCTCTTGCCGCGCCTCTATCGCTGCCGATAAAAGCCTTCGGTAACTACCGGTCAACGTTGAGCCCACACGGTTGGACGTGATTGGCGGGAGGGGCGACGGGGGGAGGCTGTATGCTGGATTTATCCGGCTTCTGTTGGCTGACAGAGCTCCCCTGTCGGTCGCCCACCTTCTCCGGCTGACGACTACGCAGTAGGTCGGCGATTCCGCCGTGAAACGGACACCAACGAGGCTCGCAGCTAGATCGATCGGAAGGGTCTCCGTCGCAGATCTCCAGATGGTTCGCCTGACATGCTGCCCGGGATCTATCGATTTCTTCCTGTGCACAATTAACATTGTTGTTTTGCGATCGTTGATTTCCTACATCTTCCGTAATCAATAACACCTTGTTGAAAGTTAAATTATGACCGTCGAGTACGATGTTTTCGGTTCCGCCCACGCGCCCACTGATCGAGCTCTGACGCCAGGTCCCCTCGCTCAGTCAGTGCCGCCGCCGCCGCCGCCGCCGCCATGCGTCGTGTGCTGACGCAGGAGCAGCAGGGCCTGTTCCCGCTGCGCTCGGTGGCCGATGTGGTGCGTCTGTTCGCGCTCGAGCTGGACAAGAAGCGGCCGTCGGTGGCGCTGCTCTCGGTCGTGGCCGGCGCCGTGGAGCACTCGCTGACCGCCGTTCGGCCGGACGCCGATTCCCCGGACGCCGCCGACGAGTGAGTGCCGTCTCGGCCGGGCAGCGACGCCGAGTCGCTGACCGAGTGATGGGGGTTTGTCTAAAACGTGCTGGTTGAAAGGTTACGATCTTAACCACGTGTCAAATGTCGAATGTCTGTTAGCTGTTGAAATTATGTATTGCATTATTACGGTAAATGATAAATGCATACGGCATTCACACGCATTATAAATTTGACGAACTACTTCGTTCTGCACTTCCGCTACCATCTTATATTAGTTCTGATGATCCCCTTTATCGCAGATTCGTAGGTAAGAAAATGCGCATTACAAACGCATTCTACTTTAGTAGCGGTCCCAAAAGTCTTCGTCATGCGCATTCACTTTGCCCGTGTATCTGGAGTGCCTAACTTGACAACCCAGCGGCCGATGTCCCTGGACGAAAGGAATTCTGAAGAAGCCGGGTGCTTTCCCGCTGAAGGTCGTCTAGTTCATGTCATGTCTTCCGAACTCCCAAGATCTGGGAGAGACGTTTCAATGTCCGGCACTGCGTAGTGCAAAGATTTCCGTCTGTATTCTCACATCATTTGTCAAAAGTTGATCATATCACGTCATCCGACCCACGTAGTTTTATAAACCAACGGGGAATTGAGTGGGCCTGGGCCACGCTAGACACGCTAAATCACGTGGCGACTTTGCCTCGTAGTCGTAAACGTCATAGACGAAGTGAAAACAAGGAAAGGATGTGGGCACAGATACGGAACGCTGTCAAAACAACTCAGGAATAGTTCATAGTACCCTCGACGAGCCGTCGTATGAAGCGTGTTTTGTAGCGAGTGATGTGCAAATGTAATTTAGTATCAATTATCGTACCCGGAAATTGAGGTAAATGAATTCACTGTGGTGGCAGTCATGCGGGCAGCTTAGTAACGTAGGTATTATGTTTATGTTCCTTGCTGTAATTTACCCATTTTCATCGGGGCTCAGCTAATTTGATGGCGTTCTCTCGCTGATGCTATGTTTGAGCACCGTCAAGATATCAGCATCTTTCATTATTTTTACAGCACACTTCGGAGTAGCTCTTTTTGTCCCCCTTTTCTACCCTCTCCCCCTCTGCTGACCACAGGCACCCATCAGCGGACGCGGAGACGGTGCCTCTGCCGCCGCTCGAGTATGACACCGTGTTCGCGCTGTACGCCAAGTTCTGCTCTCTGGTGCTGGACGCCGTCGATCTCGCGGCCTACGACCGCAGTGAGGGCACGCCGCGTGACCTGGTGAAGCGCGTGTCGGACGTGGTGTGGTTCTCTCTGGCGCGCAGCTACCACAAGGACAAGCCGCACATCCAGAGCCTGTACAGCTTCCTCACAGGTCAGTCGGCAGGAGCGGCGGGGGCAGAGGAGGCTCCTGTTTCGTTCAGTGTTTCGTTTATAGTTACACATTTTCGCACTTTGCATTTTCGACATCAAGTGGCACGATTTCTGAGTTTGTTGGCTTTATGTGACAGTATGTGACAGCCAGTCATCCTCACAGTATATTTTAATATTCTACCTGTTTCAGCTAACCGCCTGGACCGCCTGGGCGTAGCGCTGGCGCTGTGTGTGTGTGACAGGACCACCTGTGCCCTCCCTATTTCAGGTAACCGCCTGGACTGCCTGGGCGTGGCTCTGGCCGTGGTCGCCGCCTGCCAGGTGCTCGGTCTCGACGATGTGCTCCTGGCGCTCTCTGAGGACCACGCCTGGGTGGTGTTCGGCCCGGAGCGGTCACAGACGGCCGAGGTCACCTGGCACGGTCAGTATAGCGGGGAGGTCTTCAGTGGCATGGTCAGTATAGCAGGAGTCACAGGTCACTTGGCACAGTCACTGGTAACACTGCAGGCCAGGTCACAGGTCACTCTGGCATGGCCAGTAGAGACAGGGGTCACAGGTCATCAGTGGCACAGTCAGTTCACTCAGTATAACAGGGGTCGTAGGTCACTCTGGCTCGGTCAGTATAACGCTGCAGGCCCGGTCACGGGTCACACGAGGACGAACGTCGCTGAATTGGTTCAAATGGAGGAGTCATATTGTGTCTAACTACAATAAATGGATGACTCATAGTTCAGATTCATTGATGATTTTTATACTGGCTAGATAGGAAATTTCAAATTACATGAGTCATGATCGACGTTTCGTGATCGGGTGCGTTTATTTTGTGGACAGGTAAAGGTAACGAGGACAAGCGCGGTCAGCCGATCGGCGTCTCGTCGGCCCGCAGCTGGCTCTACCTGAACGGCGGCGCCGTCACCTGCAACGCGCACATGCAGGTCAGAGCCGCCGGCTGACCTGACCCGACCCCTGATGGCTGATTAGGCCTCCTGACCTGGCCGGTCGTTTGGTCTCTATGTCTGTGGATCTTGCGAGCTTCGCGCCGCGGGGATTGGCTCATTGCTCAATGCTCAGTTATTTGAACTTCTTTTGTGATGGGAGGCTGGTATAATTCAGCGGTGCTCGTTTTTTTAGGGATAAGGTGAGGGGTTTAGTGCTATGTGATCTTCATTGATGTTCTAAGTGTTGGGTTCTTCCGTCGGAAGTATCCACCGACCGGCTGTGCCGTCCCTGCACCGCCCCCTGACCGGGCGTTGGTTGCTTTGCTCGTCGACAGGTGGCAGCAGTGGTGGCCTCCATCAGCCCTACCATCAGCGGCTCGGCCGACTCTGCCGAGGTGTCGCTGCTGCAGCAGCGGCTGCTGTGGCTGCTGCACGACCGAGACACGCTGGCCGCCTACCCTCTGGCGCTGTGTACTCTGGCCGGTCTGGAGGAGCAGCGCGCCACCCCTGACCGGCCCAAACCGCTGGAGCTGCTCAGAGAGGCCGTCACCGTGGCCAGGGTGAGAAACGGGGGAGGGGAGGGAGGCCGTCACCGTGGCCAGTGTGAGAGAGGGGAGGGAAGGTCAGACCCAGGGGAGGGGAAGAAAGGGTACAGCCGCGCAGGGCCAGGGTGGAGGGAGGCGGTCCCCGTTGCGCGGGTCAGGCGAGGGAGGGGCCGAGGGGAGATTATCAGCACCGACATGAGCTAGAGGTGTCATAAGAAGCGAGCGGTTAATATTATTAAATGAGCCGCAACCATGTGAGTGGAACAACCTAGATATACTACGTGGGAAACAAAACAGGAGCTGACTGTAATCCAGAATTTGAGGATCAAAAGCATGCGATAGCATGCTTTTGCATCCGGAAATTCCCATTGGTGGGTCGCTGAAAAAAGTTCGGCTGCAGTTCGGCTGAACCTGTTTGTCAGTGAGTGAGTGAGTATGTGAGTTTGTCCAAGCTTTTTTGGACCTGGAGTCAAAATGGGTGGACCGATCGGGACGAAAGTGGGACCGTTTGATTCGTCTCCGGCGAGGTAAACTTTTGGTGCTGGCCTCGGTTCGCTCGGTGCTTCGTGGCACATGCTATTCCGCTTCAAAGTTTCGGTGACACGAAATTTTTGTCAAGGCTACAGGTCAACCCGAGGTCACGGGCAAAGCCATACTGGCGGGACACATCGGTAACACCTTGAACCAGTTTCCAGGGGGGTCACCGTCTGCGAGGGGTGCAGGCTGCACGTGCTGGGGTCGGAAAACCGTTTTGACGTGAGGTCCTCTGGCTCAAAGAAATTTTAAGCTAGGTATCAACCTCAAAATCGGTTCAATGGTAGTCCCAGGCAAGGCCTCCAAAATAATGCACATTTGGTTGAGCTAAACTCTGTGGTGCATGAGCTATGCACGTGCAAGCCGATTGCACCCCTTCGTACGTTGCCACGCCTGCAGCGTAAACGGCAGCTCTAACTGGTTCAAAACTTGCAGGTCATAAGAAGAATACATTTGATCACGACATTCCGACGAGATAATATCCGAGGGGTGCAAGCTGCGCGTGCGGGGGGCGGATAACGGTTTTGACGAGGGATCCTCTGATCCCGGGAAACGTCGATCTAGCGACACAAAAGTCGGTACACTGATAGAACTAGACACACGCTATTAGAAACAGAAAGATGGCATGGCGCAGCCGCTATTAATGAAGTCATTGGGCTATGGATCCTCCAATTCTGGCCCAAGGCAACGCACGAGCGCTGCCGGCATCTAGTTTTATCATTAGTTTATCTCCTTGAGCTCACCTGTTGACCGTATTTCACCACGATTCAAACGTACGTTCACCATAAGCGACCGTAACCGTGAGTACTAACCGTACCCCGTACTTTTGTGTCCAGGAGCGGTACGGTAACCGTCACGTGTACCCGTACACCACGCTGGGCAGCTACTACTATCGCAAGAAGCAGTACGAGAAGGCCCTGGAGACGTGGGCCAGCGGCACCGAGCCTCTCAAACAGTGAGTCAATGGATAACGTAGGTGGCTGATGTGGCACCGTTGAGATATGGCGAATTACTGGCCTGCTCGTTAGGACATACGTCCAATACACAACAGTGTGAATGGGTGGGGATGGGGGTGCTGAATGAAGAGGATTATAATGATTGAGCGCAGACTATTCCCGGTGTTTTTCTGTTTGGTTGACTCGTTTCGACTTTCCGACACTCTTCAGCTACGACTACTCGCGGGATGACGAGGAAGTCTATAAGGAGCTGATGGAAATCACCATAGATCACATCCCGCACATCATCAAGGCAAGTACAACATAAATGGGCACGGGCGAGTAGTGCGAGAATCGCGACGAATGGTGACGTGTAGCTGTCGAATCGGTCTTCAGTTAATCACTAGCGGCTGTAGTCCTTTCCGCCAAACTCGCGCTTGAAAGTTTCATGCAACGTCTTGTTCAAAATGTCTTACTTGTCGTTCCCTTTCGCTTCTCTGATGGTTCCTTTCTATCCCTCTCGCTCCCTCCCCCAGGAGGTGGGCTCCGGGATCAGCGCGCACAGTCTGATCCGCGAGCCGCGCTGCTACCTCCACCTGCTTAGGTTCTACGACGGCCTGTGCCACTGGGAGCAGGACAGCTCCACTCCCGTGCTGCACATCGGCTGGGCCAAACAGATGGTCGGCTGCGTGGCCAAGTTTGACCCGGAGGTGCGACGCAGAGCGGCCGTCACCTGCGCCGCTGATGGAGGTCAGTGGAGGGAGGGAGGGGAGGTAACGGAGGCGAGGGGTTGTGCTGGTTGACGAAAAACGGAAATAAGGAATGATGCTAGAGAGGAATTGGCGGTCGCAAAATTAAGTACGAGAGCTAAGTGATGAGGCAGACGGATTGGCAACTGTATTTGTCGCTTGTGCGTTTGCTGTTCTACCCGTCTGTTACCTGTATTCTGCTGTCTGGGTGAAGTGTATGCCCTTTCCGTGGTGCGCAGCTCGCCGTATAACGCCCCCCCCCCCGTCGCAGATCGGACGGACACCCCCACGTCAGTATCGGACAAGGACGACTCGACGACGCCGTCCGTGACGCTCTACTCTGAGAAGATGGCTGGTCTGCGTGACCTGCTAACCTCGGAGCGGTTTAACCCTCAGGTGGGTCAGAGCGGGGCTCAGTGGGTTGGGGAAGATAGGTACTGCTGCGAGGACAGGTTCATACCGACAAGGAGTGTTAAGCTCTCATAAGGGCTGGCGAGCAGTCATAGATAAACAATGTTAGGACTAGAAGGAAACAGTGGTAGTAACTACATCCTCTAGTAGTCCGACAGTCACTAATCATTACACGCCTTCTCCGCTGTTTTACGCCTACCCCTAACACCTGCCTGTACTTTATACTGTCTTTGTACCCACCTAACCGAGTCGTTTGTCGGTTGTGTTTCCACCGTCAGGCGATGTCGCTGCAGCTGACGGCCCAGTCGCAGGTCTCCTCCCGGCGCCGGGATGATGACGACGGCCGGCGAACCAAGCGACAGCGCAGAGACACGGGCTCAGCGGCGGCAGCAGCGGCGCCACATGCAGCACCAGCGGTGACGGCTGAGTAGCCCCACCAGCCGCCGAACTCTCAGACCCATCCGCGGCACCCCTGCCACGGCAATCACACAGGAACTGCACGTGAGATAAAGTGGAGGCCTCCCGGCTTTCGGGTGGGAATAGCCGTGGTTGTTGGACAGGCCTTGAAGAAGAAGAATTCATTTCTATTTAATTCCATACTTTTACCTGGACTCCGGTAAAATCGGAGCTGGAAGTGATCGTGTACCCTCCATAGACGTGTGGTGTCCCTTGGTGTCCGTAAGAGTGGCAAGTGGCCCGTGGGGCGTAAGACCCTCAGTCCGGTGTGATCAGAATTAATATGAGGCCCTGTTGAGTCGGCGGGTGTGAAAAATTATTCAGATTTTTTAGGCTTCAGCCGACACAAGGAAAGAGTCGCTTTGTTTAGCCACTGGCCTGCACCCTAAAAAGTCTGGGAGGAATGCGAATAGGACACTTTTACGCTACTGCTGAGCCACTTCAATCCTTAAACTGTAGTTCCATTCCCTTTTATGTCAAAGTTTGTCGCCACCTGGAAATTTCTCGCGCAGGGGTACTCTGGTGGTGTTGTTCACCGCTCGGCCATTTTGATGTGCTGTCGCTCAGAAATCGCCGACAGGCTCTGGGTATCCGTGGCCATGAGTGCGTTCATTACTGGTTTGTGACCGGCGTGGTAAATGGATAACGGCCTCTCAGGGCAAGGACCGTGGTGACTCAGGGAAGGGACTTACGCCTTTCATTGCTTTCATGCGACTGCCTTTTATGGGTCTTAGTCGTGGGTGTTTTACTTTCGCGTAACTATTTTTATACTACCCTTTCCTTGGGTACGTTTTTGGTAACACGTCGCCTGACTCGGAAAAGGAGTTATTCGAGTTCATTTTTGTCGATGCTGTAAACCATAATTGTTTTTATGAAAAGTTTCTAAAGATCAATGCAAATAAGCATTCGATGGCTTATGAAATTCACTTTCACAGAGCACGTTTTCCATCACATACCCCCTTCCGAGCATGTTGTACCTGAATTCGCTATTTATGAATTAAGACCATCTACGCAGTGCACTTACTTTAGAATCATGTCTGATTGGTTTTCATCTGCGGTAAGTCACTGTCGTGTCGTCTTTATTCCACTATCGTGATGTTTTACTGATGGTGCCAACGTTGGTGATCACTGTTTCTTGTCCTTTTGTTATTTTTTTTTTCGATATGTCTTTGAGGTAATTTGATCTCGGCTCTTGCTGTCGTGCTGTCGGTCTGTCTGTTGTAGAAAGTCCATGCTTCGTTGAGGAACGCATAATCGAGGTAGAAGCACAGGTATGACTTGCAAACTAACACATCGATAGAGTTGTTGCAAAAGTGGACGTGGGGCTCTCTTAGCTCGAATGATAAGAAAACCAACAGCTCAAGCTGCTGAAGCTGTCTGTTTGTAGTTCGTGCACTGGCACTCGTCAGTTTGCGGCGTACTGTAAGCTGTTTTGCTGTGGGATTTGATGTCCGACGTGGGGTGTGGAATTGTACCTGAGTTGGGCGGCTGTGAGGCAGGGAGGAGAGATGCGGGAGCTGGGGGAGAGGGAGGTGGCTGTAGGAGAGGGAGCGGTATGGGGGAGTCACGGGTCCGGGCTGTGTCGGCACCGCTGTCGGCTGTGTGAAGAGGGTGAGCCGCCGTCGGCTGTGCGTGCTGTGTGGAAAGGGTGTGCACACCCTGAGCTGTTGTGACTTGTGAGCGACCTGCGCCGTCATGTTACGTCCTGTGCTTAGCACTCGCTTGGCTTTCTGAGCACCGCTAGTTTGTTTGATATTAGTGTTCTTTTTCGGCGCTTTGTGCTTCATCCTTGCACTTGTGAGTGTCGTGTGTTGAAGTGTCGTACCCGTTGCGCTCACTGCACATGCATTCCGAACGCCCTGTAGTGCTCTGCTTTGTGCTGCATCGCCCAACGCCGTGTGTTGCAGCACACTGTGTAGCGTGTACTTCACACTGTGCTGTGGTACTTCTGGTCCCTCGGTATCTCTCTGTCGTGCGCACTGCTTCACATGCGAAACGTTCGGCGGAACCTCTTTGTAACACACGTCAAGGTCGTGGCGACGAATGGTTTGTGCGAATATGGCGATGCTGCCCCACGGGATCACATGATGTGATGTGCTCGATAAGTTTAACACCAACACTGTCCTGTGACTACACTGCTTTGATCTATATAGCACGCTGCGTGACTTGTTTCATTCTCCAGTCATTCAAAGATTTCGTCCGGTTATTGTCACGTTTGCTGTGATGATGTCTGTTATTCCGCGGACGACGCGTAACGTTATGAAATGACCGAATTATAAAATGATGTTTCGGGCAGCGGGCTCCAAAACTTGTTCTGGTCGGCGGCTGATATCCGTGGCTGGGCGTCAGGTCGTCCTCTGCGAAGTCGGCAGATTGGTCTGTCTGTTAACCCGCGCCCTGCTGGGGGGGTGTTTGAACACCCCCCCTTGTGGTTTTTCGCGAATATCTCAAAAACGGCGGCGCGGAGCGCCGCCGTTTTTGGTACACCTTATCATACATCAATTCTACACATGTTGTGAAAATTTCAGACCAAGGTCATTCAAGGTCAGGTCACCAGGTCACTTGAAGTGACCTCACCTCATAAAAACTTTCAATGTCTGTCATAGCTACACCGAGTGACCGATCGCTTTGAAACTTTCAGCGATTGCTAAGGGCAATAGCATGTACAAAATGTATATCTCAGAATTTTGATATCGATGACCTAAGGTCAGGTCAATTTTGCGACCTCCCCATTATAAGTCAATGGGAGAAAATTGAAATGAGCCTCTTTTGGATGAAAGACATTATAAACACTCCCAAACACCGAATTACAAGTGTTTTAGACACACTGAACTTGAAAATGGTGTCCGTGACCCTTGTTTATGCCCTGAGGTCATCTCAGGTCACGAATGGTATCTAACAGTTTTTCGCAAATAACTTTTGATAGAGGCATTCTAGAGCGATGAAAACGCCTTAGATGTGTTCAGCTCGACGATACGGATCGACTGATATGCAACATGACGCTTTCCGGTCAGGTCATGACCTTGACCTGAGGTCAAATTTTCAAGTTGACCCTTCAAGGTCAAGTTATAGTTCATTCGATGCGTCTTGACGAGAGGAACACGATGGCGGTAAAAGTAAGCTCGTACAAGGCTTGGGTCAAAAGTTATTGCAGAAAAACTGTTTTCGAAAAAATCGGCTATTTTTGCAGTTTTTGCCCCCTGCAGGCAAAACCGTTGACGTTAGGTCAAATCTGAGAGGATTACTCAGAAAGGGCGTTAATAGGGCTATCGAATGCGCTTTTCCGCGGCGCTGTAGCTCTATTGGTTCCCGAGTTATGCGTTGGCTTCTTGGAAATTTTCGACATTAGACCTGGAAATCGGCGAAATTTTGCCTTCAATGACCTCTGGTGACCTGACCTTTGCCCTGACCAAAAAATTGACCGAAGTGATTTCGTCATTATTTTTGACGCTCTTTCGAACGCCGCCTTCCGCGTATCGCTACGTGGCCCAGGAGCCGAGTTAGAAGGGGGGGTGTTCAAACACCCCCCCCCCCCCCAGCAGGGCGTGGAAATCCAGGACCCCCAGCAGGGCGCGGGTTAAGTGATGAGCTCGGTGTTGGGTGTTGGCCGCAGGCCGCGGGCGTGTGTAAGTTGCTGTGACGCCCGGGTGCGGCGCCAATGTTGCTGTGACCTGTACCTGTCCTGCTCGGGCCGGGCCGGGCCGGGTCGGCACCGACCGTCGGCCGAATCGACCGCGCCGCATCCATAACGGCCGGCCGCCTGTTCTCGGCAATCGGTTTTGCCCGAGGAATCGAATTCTGTGGCTATCTATTTTGATTAGATATGCTGTTCCTTGTTGACAATAGCTTGTGATGTTGTAGTTTTAGTGTCGTTCGACCGTTTCATGTAGAGCTTCGGCTGAATATATTTTAGCGCTTGTAAAGTGTTACTGAAATTTATCGCGTCTCCATTCACAACACTAGTGCGACTGGCCGCCGGAATTTTGACGGCGGGTTGTACGGTACGAGGCAGGATTGAGGACGACATTGGTAGTGATAATATTAGTGACCCCAAGTAGACCGTGCCTGTTACGGACCCCTCGAGGCTCGAACACGCCTTACCTTTCTCCAATGTCTTGTGCGGGCCCATCCCAAAGCCGGCAAGATGTGGTAGAAACAGTAGCTATTATAAATAGATAGAACAGACTCCAATTTGAGACCGTTCCGTGCTTCTATCCTCAGGATACAGAAATCCTTCTCCTCCACGCCGCAACCCCACTCCGGGCTGGACAGGCACCTTTATCTCATGCGGGCTGCTCCCTTGTAGCGGCACCGCTGCTGCTCCCTCGGGAACAGCAGCGGGTGCAGCAGCAGCACCCATAGCCGGGTGCAGAGAGTGCTTGGGGGGGGGGGGGGGGGCTGGTCGACCTTTGGGTCGACCTGTCCGTTCGGACGGGCTCAGCCCCGGCGACTCTCTAGGGTGTCTGCCCAGACCAATGTCTCCCCCTAATTCCTATCATCCTTCCGGCTCTGAAATGGTCTTGTCAGACCGAAAGGGCATAACCCAACAAAACAAACAAACAATCCAATTTGAACCGCCTGAGTGGAGTGCAAGGCTATAGGTGGAGTGGAGGGCGGGAGTGGCTATGCAGACATACGGTGATGAGCGGCGGACTTAGATTTTAAACCCTAAATCTCGTTTCGCATTTATATACGCTGCTTGCTGAGTGATGCTGCTGATGGTTATGCTATTGTGCATAAGATGAGAGGTGACTGAAAAGACATCATCTTGTTGATGCTTTTTCGAAGCTAGTTTTCTAAGTTGTCTAATTGGTTAACAACAAATTAGCTGCGTTTTCCTAGCAAATAGGTCTGGCGCGCTTGTTCCGATGCTGACGCACCAGGATTTATCCTGCTGTTCGCCAGCAACATTTTGCAGCAAATTGCCTAGCAACAGCATTAATAAACGACAATTTGCCAGGCAACTCGCGGCTGCTTCTGTATATTTCGCGCGGGAAGAAATTTTTGAACACCTTTCTTAACTGTTTGGGACTGAGTGGCGGGCGAAGAACGAAGATAAGTTTTGACAGGAGTTTTGTGGTGTTGCTTCGATGAATTATTATTTTGGAAAGACTTTGAGAGTTGAATGTTGAATGGATATGCAAGGCCAGTAGATGGGTTGTGGGATTCTCTTGCCAGTCGAAGACAGGTAAGACAAACTTATCTTTGTGATAGACCGCATAATAATGTGTTGTAGGGGAGCATCCTGGTCTAGGTTTTAAGTTCCTTGCCTCAATCTATAGATTCTGCCATCCGGGTTCGACTCCCGGGCAACGCAGGTGGCCGGTGGCATCAAGGTGGCATTACCGCTGCCTGACTGATTGGAACAGTGTGAGAGTTCTGGTTAGCACTTGGTCCACTGGCTATGGTGCTTAACCTAAACCAATCAACCAATAATGTGTTTTAGCACTGCACCAACCAAATTCAAATTGTTAACTTCAAGCAGAGCTTTCCGTGACTTATGACTATGGTCACTTGCCTTGCTGTGCCAAACCTGATCTAATTTTGCTATTGTTATCTTTGCTATTAGCTATCAGTCAAAATCTGTCTGCCAATGAAGTAGCCATCTTTCTCTTCGTATTTGCCACCTATGGGCTATGTATCAAAGTGAAAGTTCTGTCTGATCTTTTTTCAGATCAGGTGAATAGCCATGACAGACAGAGTAGTCCTTCTAATTGACATGGACTGCTTTTATGTGCAAGTGGAGCAACAACTACAACCAGAGACATTGGGAAAACCAGCAGTAGTTGTGCAATATAACACATGGAAGGGGGGCGGGTAAGTTGTTGATTTGGACAGGCTTAGACTTTCTTCTTTTTCTCACTGGAGTTCAGTTGTTTTCCTTTTCATAACAGGAGCTCTTGTTTTCTTTTTTGATGCAATAATGTTATCAAAAATCCTTCAAATTAATGTAAAAAATATGATATCAGCACATTATTTGCTCTTCCTTCTCACAAAAGCTAAAACACTTATTTTTATCATAGTGGCCTGACAATGGCTGCTCAAGGTAAAGATCTTAACTAATAAAACATCTTTTAGGAAAATTAACACATTCACTGAAATAATCAAATAATGTTTGCAGCCCCAGACCCCTGGTCTAATTCAACCAGGCATATAACCCAACACCCCACTAGGTATAAGTTGACACTGTCACCTCCCACCACTCTCACTCATTACTCAACGTTCAGCATCATCGCTGTCAACTACGAGGCGCGCGCGTGCGGCGTGCGGCGCAACATGCGCGGAGACGAGGCGCGCCGCCTCTGCCCCGAGCTGCTTCTGTTCAGAGTGCCCGAGAGACGCGGGAAGGCCGACATCGGCAAGTACCGGGAGGCGGGCCGGCGGGTGATCGCCGCCATCCGGCCGTTCGCCGACCGCGTGGAGCGCGCCAGCGTCGACGAGGCCTATGTGGAGCTGACTGCGGAGGCGGTGCGGCGCGCGGCGCGTGGGCCCGTCGCCGCCGAGGCGCTGGCCAACACGTTCGTTGTTGGGTTTGGCGGAGAGGAGAAGACGGAAGGTGAGTAGAGCGGAGGCTAAAGGGGCAGCAATACCTAATGTTGGATTATTGGGACTTGTGTGGGTTGGCGTGAAGACGTCCTTCCACGATCCCTGCAGCTGCTGGGCGTTTGGTATTACTCAACCAACCTTCCCCGAACCCTCTCCGCTGCAGAGTGTCGTCGGGCTGGCGTGGAGGCCTTCCTGGAGTCAATCCGCTCCGGTTTCGCCTCTGACGGTGACCGGCTGCTGGCCGCCGGTGCTGCCATCTGTGAGGAGATGCGCAAAGCTGTACTGGACCAGACCGGCTACAAATGCTCGGCAGGAATCGCTCACAACAAGGTAACATAATGAGAAGTGAGTTTTTGATCGGCTAAAAAAGTAAGAAATTGCTGAAATAGGCCTATTTTGATTCAGCTGCTTTGTAATTTCGCTCAGCTCATCGTTGAAGAAGTAAGTACCTAATGATTTCGCTCATTTCATCGCTAACAGCTTGATTAGCATAGCAGGATTCGTTGCCGTCGATCACAGAGTTCTGGAATGTCCCAATTTTGTTGTCGAGTGGTCAGCCAGGTGTATCAGAACCCAGCTCTTATATTTAACCTGTATCTCCAGGTGCTGGCCAAACTGTGCGCCGGTAAGAACAAGCCGAACCGACAGACGATCTTGCCGCACGGCTCCGTGCCACAGCTCTACGAAACGCTCCCCGTCAAAAAGGTACGCGCCGCGGCTGGTCCCTGACGTGTTGTAGAAAACAGACACATATTTTGTATAATATGGCAATTTATCCCTCTCCCAATCGCATCCGTTGACTTTCATAAGTTAAGGTAATAACTTTGACCTTATTCGATGCATGCTTCATTCTTTGACCCAACCTATGCACGCTCTGATCCATAGCTAGAAGCATAACAAAGCAACTGTTCTCATTTTCCGTCAGGTTCGGTCCCTGGGTGGTAAGCTGGGTGACGCCGTCACCGAGGGACTGGCCTGTGAGACGATGGGCGATCTGTCGCGGCTCTCCCTAGCGCAGCTGCAGGCGGCTTTAGACGCCAAAACCGGGTCAGTAGTTTTCCTCTCCGCTCGGTTTAGGTCAGCGGGATCGCTGTATTGCCTTCATATCTTCATGGCTAGATATTGATGGTGTCGACTTGCCTTATGCTTAGGCTGGTGGTTTAGGCTTAAGCCGTAGATCAGCGGGTCGCATGGATAGTCAGGGTATCGTAATCATATCCGCTGCTAATACACGATTCCCGCATCTGGCCCCATCTCTGGTTTGTTATCTGACGTGTCCGTCCTGTCCTCAGCCAGTGGCTATACCAGCTGGCGCGGGGCTTCGACTCGGAACTGGTGGCCGACCGGCACCTTCCCAAGTCGATCGGCTGCAGTAAGAACTTCCGCGGCCCGGAGGTGCTGCGGACGCGACAGAAGGTGCGCCACTGGCTCCAGCAGCTGGCCAACGAGGCCAGCGAGCGGCTTACCCTCGACCAGGAAGTGGTGAGTTACGACTGCTCAATGCTCACCTGACAGCCCCCACCCCGGGCTCTCACTCATGTCACCCAATCGCTTACTGAGTTATTCACTGGCACCGTCCCTTAGCCATGTGAGCTGCGACTAATTAGTCAGGTACGCAGGATTACGTGGGCTAAGCTGTGTTTTACTGAATTTATCCATGCCTCTGGCTATCGACCTGCTCCGAACCCACGCCCTAATTAGTCCGAAGCACGCAGTTGACCGTTGGTGCGCCTCTACTGACCTTTGCAGCTGACCTGTGCCGTTTCTGACCGTCAGAATCAGCGCACGTCCCGCTCTCTGACGGTCAGCGTCACCACAGAGGACGGCAGACACGTCAGCCGCGCATGCGCACTGACCGGCTACGCGGCGGAGACGATCGCAGCAGACGCGTTCGCGGCGCTCTCCAAACTGAACACCGCCCAGGAGGGCGACCAGGCCTGGTAAGTGGAGAACTGGGCCGGATGAAGATGGCGCCGTAAATCGATCTGCGATAGATGTTTTTTATTGTGCAGTATTCATTATGATGAATGAAAATATGGTCAATTGAACTGTTATATGTGGCCCAACGCTGGTCAGATAAGCATTGCCATCATCCGTTTTGAAAATACCGTGATGTCGCTTTGCTTTGTGATTTCCATCTCAATGAAAGTAATTGAGGGGTCACATTTTATTTTTGGGATAGCAAGTTTCTTTTGATGGAATGGAGGTGCTGGCTTATGTAGACATCCAATTTAAACCTCACAAAGCCCGTCGTGCCAGAGATAAACCATTATTCACCGATGAGTCTCCTCGTTCCCAGTATTCAGGGCCAAATATTCTGTGTTCTTGTTCCACGTTTAGTAGTTCCATGTGCCGGCTTGCTCCCGGAGTGACTTGCCGGCGGTAACAAAGCCACCCGCCGCGCGCCCGGCGACTCCGGATGTCAGTTGATCCGCCGTTTGAGCCAGTTAGACGCCAATTGTTGGCATACACATTAAACACTGGCGGAGCCGCCTAATGCTGATTTACACCCCAATTTGCCGCCGACGTTTTACCGAGGGGCTTCGTATGGCGCCGAGACCTCCCCACGCCGGCTTATTGCGCCTGTTTGCTTTAAGTGGCTTTGCTGTCCGAACAAATGGGAGACTGGATCGCAGCGATCCAGTCTATGAGCGGCCCGCTCATAAGCTATTCCTTTATTCTGTTACATCAGAGCAATGCTGGCATTTTCTACCGCACACGGTAACTAGCAAATACAAACACTAGCTTTGGAGGTTTGTATTGTCAGTAAGTGTCCACGATAAAGTCCACGATTCGTGAGCTACTGGTGGAGAGAACGATGTCTTTTTCAGCAGATGGCTGCTGTTTTTAGAGCAATATGGTTTGGTTAATCCTCTCAGATCAAGGCAGCCTGGCATATTTTAACCATTATGATCATTATGGTGGATCAGTTCAAGACGTTATGAAGAGCCGTTGTTTGCAATTGACATGTTCCACTAGGCCATATATTCCACTGGATATTCTTTGGCGGTCCCACTCGCTGTACTCGCTCCTCCACCGTTCCTACTCTACGACCAGCCGGAGTGAATTTTCCAGACCCGTCCGTCCTGCGTTCCGCCAACTCCAGCCTAAGGATCCGCCTCGCCGCCTGCCTTTCAGACCAGGTCAGTGTCTGATCGCCCGGCCGTTCCAGGGCTCCTGCGCTGATCAACCTGAGCATCTCTGCCGGAAAGTTCTCAGAAGTGCCGACGGCGGCGTGCGGCAACATCGCCGAAATGTTCTCCAGACTGCCGGCGTCTTCTGGTACGGCGACCCCTCGCCAGTCGCGCGCGGCTGCGAAGGATTCGTCCATCGCGGCGGTGATGGCGAGGATGGCGGCAAAAGAGTCGCCGGCGGTAGCGAGGAGCTCGGGTAGTGCGACGATAGTTCAGACAAGTGCAACATTAGATACTGGTGACGGTGAATTGACTGAGGAGTGTGCGAGGGACGCGGCAGGGGAAGAAGTGACACCAAAGGTGATTGCGAACGGTCTGTTGAATGGTGTGGTTAGTAGTGTGAGCACGGAAGGACGGACTGCGGATGAGGGGTCGTCACGGTGCGGCGAGTCGGTACCTCAGTTCGGAGAGAAGCGGCGCTCAGAGGTCTCCGACGCTGAGCCACCCTCCAAGTCCGTCTGCACGGGAACGGACCGTGGCGGTGGGGCTGACTCCGCTACCACGGCGCCAGAAGACGCCGGCAGTCGACCGGCAGCTACATCCCCTGCCATCACTGGCTTCTTCGCCAGAAAGGAGCGACAGATTCGGGCCGAGCAGGCGGCAGCGGCGGCTGCGGCACCCAGCGCCCCTACCTCTTCTGCTGCCTCCACTGCCACCGCCTCACGGTCCTCACCAGACCGAGAGCGAAGGACCGCCGCCAGCCCGCCCCGTCCTACATCCCACACTCCATCCAGCCCGGCCCGCCGGGGTCGCGGCAGGGGCTCCTCCCGGCGCGGACGAGGCCGCGGTTCCCGAGGTGCCGCGGCGGCCGTCAGCCCAGACAAACGCTCTCGAGTGCGGGTCCCTCTTCCAGTGGAGGACACTCTGGATCTGGATGAGAACTCTGTGGACGCCGACACACTGGCCGCCCTCCCGGAGGACATTCGACAGGAGGTGGAGGAGCAGCTGGAGAGGAAGAGGAAGAGGAGGGTAGAGGAGGCGAGTAGGACTCGGAACGGCATCAGGCGGTACCTGCGAACAGCGCCGGCGGGGAGTGAGGGAGCGGGTAGCGGCAACAGTGCTGCGGCGGTAGCAGAGGGAGGAGAGACTAGTGACAGGACGCGTGTGAAGGAGAACACGGCTCCGGCAGTGGCGGTGGTAGCAGAGGCAGAGGATGATCCAGCCGTAGCTGAAGGTGGACGGGATGAGCAGCGGGTCGACTCTCCTCTCCAAGCCGATGCGCTAGTGACCCCACCTTCCCCAGTGGCCGGACCGTCAGGTCTGTGTCAGACTGCTGTCAGCGAGGCGGTTCGGATCGCCTCCGACCGACCTCCCCTCACCGACGAATCCTCTAGTCAAGAATCTGCCTCTGCGTCCTCTGACGCGGCTGTCCCTTCCTCTGCCGCGCCAGAGTCCGAACATCCCTCTGACGGTCAGTCCGCCGGCGCCGTGGGGGAATCTGCTCCCTGCCCTCGCTGCGGTAAGCCTATCTCACCGTGGGACCTACCGGAGCACCTCGACTATCACATGGCGCTGGAGCTGTCTGAGCAGGTCACTCCGCCGCCACCGGTCACCGCGCGCCCGCCTAGCCGCGCTCGTGCCCCGACCACGCGCAGACGCGGCCGGCCCAGTAAAGTGGAGACGCTGAAAAAGAACGGAGAGGTGCGGCGGATCGATGCGTTCTTTAAGTGAGCTGCTTTGGTGGTAGGTCAGTGCTGCGTGAGCAGTCTCAGAGTTGAGATCGGTGTTCTCGGCATAGTGATGACGATGAGCGTTGCCAGTGATCCGTGTCTTCGGGCAGCTCAGCTGTTTGATGCAAACGGAATGTGATGCGTCAGTGATTATTCAGCCTTAATTTTGTGTGATGATAGTTAGGTTGTGATGATCTGACAATGCTGCTCGTACCCTGAGCTCCCATTGACTAGTTTTTAGTCAAGTCATTGCTGCACTGTAAGTTTTGTTACCATTTCGCACCTACCTCTAGAGTAATTTGTGTAAATATTGCTTTTGGACACACCTGAACGGTTTACATTTCCTTTTAAAGGAACTGATTGCATGAATAACAGCATAATTTGTGTTTCTGGTTCGAGTTCCATTTGCATTTAATCGGAGCGCACCGCCTGTCATGAGGCGGTGAACATGTCATTGCCGCAGTGATCTGTTGATGGCGATCCAGCCTGCTGGTTTGTTTTCGTCCATAGTTGGTCATCAGACCCGAGATATATTTACATATACACCTATTTATACCATGGTGTGCCGTCCTTGCATGCCTCGCTTGTCACAATGTCACATCCATAAAACATGCGATAATATATGTGTCGGAACGCTTTCGTCTCGCTGTTTGTGCGACTTAGAACACGGCGCGCTTACATGGGGTGGGTGGTCTGGAGCTGAGCTCGGATTAGAGGAGCGCCCGGCGACTTGTTTTGCTCCTCCCCTGAACACAGTTCAGAGAACGGGCTGGTAAGCTGTAAGTCGCTCGACCCTATGCCAATGTTGGAGCGTGTAACTGCATGGCGATGGCCAAACCATGAGCGTGTAACCATGGCCCAGTTCCCACTTCCAAGACGTCTGTAGTCACCTAACTATGTAAGAAAATTAACTTTTTGGCAGCTGCGGAGACTCATCTACAAATCACATCCCGACTCTCGGCCTCTGTGAAGTCCATCGAGTCGTCCTGTGTCGACCGCCGCCTCGTCGCATCTCGGACAGGCGTGCGTTGTCCGCCGCGGTCACCTGCCTCTATTTATGTTGACCTCCCAGCTGAGTGCCACTGTTCGCTGCGCTGGCGGCGGCCGCATCAAAGCCCGCTATGATTTGTAGTCCGGAGAAGGCGCCGATGGTCCGGACGTTTTGACGCACGAGCCGCGTCAGCCGCCGCTCGCCGACCCGTTTGAAGTGGCGTCCTGTCACGGGTCGGTGGCCAACTCGCGGCTCCGGCTCTGCCGCTCTTCGCTGCCTGATTCTGAGCTCAAACTGGCCGGCCAAACCGCTGGGCGACTCTTCAATCACACGGTGTACTGCACATAGCGGTCTGTGCACGCCGCGAGTCCTAATCAGCTCCCAGAGAGCCCGCGCGGACCGCCCGGGTGCCCCGCCTGTTCGCGCATGCGCAGCGGACCCGCTGCAGCAGAAGACTGTCGGTGTCGGCGGCGGGCGCGTGCCGCCGTCAGTGGCGACCGGTGCGCGGTGCAGTGGGGTGTGTCGCGTGCCGCTCCGGTCGTACTGCTGGTAACAAGACTCTCCTTCTTCATTGAATGTCGCCATGGAGCAGGCGACGCTCTGGCTCGGCCTAGGTAGGTCCATGGCTGACTGGGGTCACTCTTGAGCGGTTCCCCGGCAGGGGCACGGCTGTTTTACAGGGTCCAACCTGTCTGGTCGATAGTGAAGCTTCCGTAGCTGACGCCAGCGAGTCGGGAAGAAATGGGTCCTTCACACGCAGCCTAAGGGATTAGTGATGCTCGGCTGGGGCTGACCAGACTGATGAATTTACGGGATGATCATGAAAATTGCGTGTCCTGATATTGCATGTTGACGCTCGAAGGGTGCTAAGTGACAATGCGAGAAACAGAAATGCCTTTTGGCTGCATTTTGTTGAAAGTCTGTTCACATTTGATTCGAGTGTGGACTTTGAAGCTCGAGCTGACACATTGTTGGGCGGTGACGTGAAGCCAGGAAGTGTCTGACATTTTTGGAATTCCTGCACGCCGGGGTCCGGTCTTGTGAATGGAAGTAGCGTCAGGTTCTCAGCCTGTCTCGGCTCAGCACGTGGTTCTTTCATGCATCTTCTTTCATTCTGTCTTGGGCAACTGTTGGTAATAGACCTACCTATTATACGCTATTAGCCAGTGACATTGAAACAAAAGTAGCGAGAAGAGCCAAGACACATACGCTAGTTCGGGTCCAGGAAGGAGAGGGAATTATATTGGTTGTGGCTGGTCTCTTTTAGAGGTCACTGGCTATGCAAAGGGAATCAATGCCGAGCGTACCTTGTTTGCAGCTTCTCAACCCTTTCGCTCAGTTCCAAAGTGGACACTAAGCCCTTCAAATATTTACCGTCTCTGTTTTCACCGGTCGGTTTCGCCCTTTCATGGTTCTCTTGAGCCGCTGTGTAGCCGCCAGAGTTTGCCCGCGACCTCGCCTCTGTGCTATCGGCCGAGCCGCGGCGTGGTGGCAGTCATTTGGCCAGCCGGTCGCCTGTTGACACGTGTGCCCATTCCTGACATTTTACGGAGACCGAGCTGTCGGCAGCGGCCGACTGCGGGCGGAGACTCCATACTGTGGAGGGTGTAAGAGCTCAGTGATCAGTAAACGACACCCGCTGAGCGCTGACTGAGTCTCTGGCTCTCGTTGTCGTTCCCCATCATTTCATTCTGCAGTGATCCTCTGGATCACGTGTGATGTCACTGTGGTCTCAATCACTTCTTCAGACAGTCAGCTTGGCTGTGAGATATCGTCCTACATCAAATACGTTCATCCTAGCCTCATCTCGGGCCGAATCCACTGGACCACCTCTCCACGCCCGATCGGACCCGCGGGTCTCTCCCGTCCCTCTCCCAGTCTTGTTGAGCTCGCGTGTGAGCAGCCACCGGCCACTCTAACCCATTGGCTGGTGTGATTGACCGTGACCGATGCGACCGACAGCAAGGCATTTACGGTTGTCGGATAGCGCGAACCGATCATCGGACCTACGTCAATAGCTCCTTAGCCCTGCGGCGGTGGCAAGAGCTCCGCTCGGCGTGTGTCTCATGTTTGTTGTACCGCCTTCTGTTCAGTATAAGAATAGAAGATTTGGTCGGTACGTTATGCGATTAAATGACTCAATGATGAAGGGAGGAATAACATTTTTGAGATGACGTTGTGCTTTGTTTCATGTTCCGGTGCAGTGAAGTATGTGCCTATTTTTTAGTTAGATTAGCTTTGTTCCAAACTTCCATATGATGACTAGCAGATAACAGAATAAAAGAAGGGTTAATAGTTTTATGGGATTTATGGAGGAGTAAACGTAATGTATCGAACAGCCTGTTGAAGGACCTAATCATGAAAAACGACCCGTTATGGTCGATCGGCTTTGCTGTACCTACCGCTAATCGACTCCTAAAAACGGTGCATCATCGTCCATGAACACCGGTTGAGGCGTGATTCAGTATTTACATATTTCCATTCGCCATCGCACATTTATCATTTTGGGCTATTATAGTTCCTCATAATCTATAGGCAATTGCACCGTAAAGCTGCTAAACGCTTCTTGCAATGTTGTTTGTATGGGCATTCAGGTCCCGCCGTTTTCTGAGAATCTGTGACAGACTTCAAGGTAATGGTAGAAAATATAGCCTCGTCAGCATAACAAACGATGCCTCCTTTGGGTATCATCAAGTCGAAATATGCATCGTCTGAAACTGCATGCCAGGAAAGAAACGACAGTGGTGGACAATTTTATTCCCCAGGGACAGACCGGCCGGCCTTCCTCCGTAGAGTGGTCTCCGTTCTAGGGATTCTGCTCAATTTTGGCAAATGGCTGGCCATTCCCGTTGTAGCCAGTGACCCCAGTTGCGATTGTGTCCGACCACTGAACGAATGCCGTTCTACCGCGATTTGTTGGAGATGGTGCAATTCCAGAGTCCGCTGAGACGAAAAAACCCAGTCAGTTCGGAAACGCTGATGCATCTCGGAGTGGCCGTTTGCTATATCGCTGAACTGAGATGTATTGAAGTATCAGTCACTCCTGACGAGACAGCTCGGCTTCCTCTGAGCAGCTCCTTCGAGCGCTGGAAGTATTTGCTAGCGAGTGAGCGCCGGAAGCCGTCAGTTCCGTAAACAGGCACTCCCCTCCTCCACTTCTTTGGCCAGCGTGAGTGCTCTGAGACATGTGGCCTCATCTGAAAAAGCTTTTAACCCTGAGTAGGAACTATCGAATGGTGCACCCGTGAGCAGACCGTCGCGTCGACGCGAAAAATGTGATTCTTACTGTTTAACTCTAAAGCAAAGTGAAATCGCATTATTAATACCAAGGATATGTATGTGCATCGGCTCCTTGCACTTTTTCACATGAATCGATTTAGCGTTACTCCGTACCGGAGCAGACGGTGCCAAAATCCCTCCTCTCGTGATGTCGGACCGCTGAGAAGGAGAGACCTCCGCCGGCCTGTCAGCCTCTCCCCGGCCAGACCCGCCTATGTGGGACAATGGCCGCGGTTCCGCTAGTCCTGGCTGTCGTGTTTACATACATGTCTGATGCCGAACTGGGTATTTAGACGAGCGCGTCGGACGGGAGACAAATGAGCCGGCCGGGCGACACGACCACCGGCCGGGCGTGCCGTAATCGACAAATTAGAGCGCATCCATATGCAGCTGCCAATTTTAGTTATGTCACCGGCTGACATGCGGATGCATACATTATGGAAATGATGCGTGTCGTCATCCGAAATAATGCGAGCTGGGCGACAAACAACATGGACTTGTAGCGTTTAGCGCTTGTGGCCACTCAGTGCCAAGCCGTTGGCTTCAGACAATCCGGCCGCTTATGACCTTTGAAGCCCCGTCGCCCCGGTTTCTGTGGCCACCCCGCTCGCGTCGCGGACCATTGATGTAGCCGGTTTGTTCGTTCACGTCCGTAAATCACTGCGCCTCTCGGTGATCGAATTACGGCGCGGGTGTGACGTGACGCGGCGCGGACGGTATCCGTTTCTGCGTACCGGCGGTGCCGTTTGTTTTGACAGGGTGCCGGCGGCCGGAGGCCGAGGGTCAGGCCCTGGCCGGCCGCCAGCCGCTGCCGCCGCCGACCCTAGTTCGAGCTGGTGTGGCGTGGTTGCTCGTACATAGGGCAGAGCCCATTCTGCATCCCTGGATTTCTTTCCAAACTGTGCCAGTCATAGCGCCTCTTTTTCGCACGACTCGCACCCTCTCAGCTCTTTCTCAACTCTCAACTCAGCTCTTAATCTCTAACCCTGTATTCATGATTCGCTGTCTCTCCCTCTTTCGTCGTATTCGTCTCCTCTGTTTCTTTTCTCCTCCTTGTCCTCCGCCCCAGCCCCTCTCTCCACCTTTGCCGCTCCCCGACCTCCGCGGTCCGGCCTTCGTGCTGCCGATTCGTACCGTGTAATCCGGCGTGCACCATTCGCGTGGGGCCGACTCGGCCGCCGTTTTCCGGGCCCACTACACGCCCCGACAGACCTACTGAGCTTCCACGGAAGCTCGGCTATGTCGTACGCTCTGGCACCCCTTTCGGCAACAGGAAACCATCGACAGAGATCTGCCGATGGGAACAGCTGGTCGCTATATGTGCACTCTCCTGACCTATGGTCTCCCCTGTGCGATCCTCTCGTTTACATGACTGCTGCCCCATCGCGTATCGTGCAGCGGTGCACGAGGCGAGCGAGAGCCTATCTGGGAGCCAAATCACATCTTCGTTATCGGTCCAACTTTACGGCCGGTACCAAGGAAACCTTTTATTTGCTCTGTGATTTATGTCGCCGCCGAGGTTCGATAACCATTACAGTCACGGCGCGGCGGCGGCGACGAGTGGCGCACCACAGGCTGCGCCGTCAGCGGCGCGGGGCCATTGCGGGAGGTCGCGACACCGCCGTGTTGTGGGATTAGCACCGGCAGGCTGCAAAAGGTGGTTTAGCTGATTGGAGCAGCTGGATGGGTCATGAATGAGCCGGGGGACGGTCGGAGTCTGTGTTGACGATGGCGACCGATCAGTTTCTGCTGGGGCGAACAGCGCTTCTAAACCAAACTTCTTTCTTGAGTTTGAACATGCTTCTTGTGTCATGCTTTATTTCGAGGTCATCGCTTTTTCACTGTGTGCTCACAGTGGACTGTGGAGAGACGCTGAGTTTAGTGTTCCCCTCTCCGTCTCTCGTTTTCGTAGAGCTGGCCGATGTGTGGCGGACCCACGACTCCCGTCGTTTCCAGTTTCCCAATGGCAGCTCCGGTACTTCCCACCAGCTGTCGTTCCCCTGTTTTCCCCTCTGTGTTCCCACATTTCCCATACGTCTGGCACATCTGCCGGCGACTGCCTGTCGTGATCTCACGGACCCAGATACACCGACGCCACCGAACCTCTCGTGTCCTGCGGCAGTTGGCACTAATTGCTCGCCGCCGGACAGTTAGCTGAGATCACGTTACCGGGACGTTTGCAGAGAGAATTACAGGGGCGGCACGCTTCTCCAGTCGTTATCGGTGTGAGTGAGGCTGTTACTCAGCTATCTTCCATCACTGATCGGGAGCCGAGAAGTGGCGATTGGCGAGAGAGTTAACACTCACGGCGGCACCTCTGAAGGCTACTGCTCCACGACAGATCGTGGTTGTACGCCGGGCTGGGCGACATGGACCAGGTATGCACGTCCGCGGTGAGCTCCACCCGATGCGAGGCACGCGAGTCGGTATTTCTGCGGCGGTAAAGTGCGCCGCCACAGCCCCGTCAGACCAGCGCAGTGACCACTCGGGCGGTATAAAACTCCGAGCTGGACCCCTCCTACGGCCGCGGTGCTCCGCCGCGCCCTCTGATACATGACTGGACGAATCGGCCCAATCACGACTCGGATTACAGCTGCGGTGATTATCTTCACGTTCTGCGCCCTGCAATAGGCTGGCTACATTACTTACTGAGCCGGGCGGCGCCGAATCGCCGCGAATAGATTACACCACTCTCAGACTGTTTATTCATTAGCGACCTGGCAATTACACGCTGCGCCAGTTATTCAATTGGGAGTGACCGTATCTGCGGTGGCGATTCAGCGCCTGGCCGTGCCCCAGCCCGCGTGTCAATGCGGTGTCGGCCGGCCGGCGGCGGCGGACCGAGATGACAGTCCCGCCGGGACGGTGCGACCGCCTCTCCATTCGTGAGGCACGCTTCATTAGCATATTGAGTACGGAGCGGACTCCCCGCTGCTCCGAAGTGAAATTAGTCGCCGCGGATTCGTGGCCAGTCATGGTGGCGTCGATTGCAGTCGGGTAAAGCCATTGGTCATCGAGCCAGAAGACGGCCTCGTCATCGACTCGGCAATCGGTTTATACGGTCGGCCGAGGAGGCGTTTGTCTTGTGTGGGGCTGGGTCTGGGAGCGAACGTGCCAGGCATGCCGGCCGACCGAAATGCTAATATTTGTGGCCGGGAGTTGTGGCTAACTGCCGCTGAAGAGCTGCATGTCATTCTTCGCGCCCGTTCGGACATATGGTTAATTACTGACGGTTGGGATTCTTACTAAATGTTGGATATGAAGCTATGCAGTTTCCTACGTCAACATTTGATCGTTATCTGCTCCTGTATGTAGATCATTGTCGTTTATTTACTCTTTACACATACACCTACATGCTACCTCCTATGACGGACATTCACCGTTTTTTTTTATATATTTTGCTTGGTTTGATGGTGTCATTACTTATAAGATCAGGGCTATCGGATCGACATCTGTTTCCGAGCTCCTTTTTCACCCGATCTCCCTTTCATCCGATCTCCCTCTACATGATATTCCTGCACTCGCACTTCCCTTTATCTCATCTCAATCGGAACTCACGCTCTCGTCTGCCGCTGGACACCTGCCGTCGTGCTGACAATGCATGTCGAATGCGCAGACGGACCGATGATATCCTTCGGGTGTCGATGGTAACCGAGAGGGCTATCACTGGGCGCCGATAACCTGTAGCACAGAGGGCAGCCGCCGGGGTGATGGTCAGGCTGTTCTCACCCATCCAGAACGGTAGCCGACGGGCGTGTCTGCCGCCGTCAGTTCTCCGTCGGAAGGGATGATCGCACCCAGCAGGCTGACGCCTCATCACTTACCGATATTGCCCCGAGGGCTGTGCCGTCCCGTCTGGGGCTGCCCCTGTGCCCAGGCTGGTGCTATTGGTCCTGACTGCCAGCATTTGGTCTTGACACTTGGCCTAGAACAGCACTGACATTGGTCACGAGAGGTGACAGCACCCATGGTGACAGCTGGGTGGTCAGATAACCGGCCGCGTCAGCAATCAGTGTCCCCGTTCGTTACAATATCTGGGCTGGCGTGGTACTGCATGACTGTCATAGATAGCTTTATAGTCTGATGGAGTATCGCTCGAATTCTGGTATGTATTGCTACGAGCGTGCCGGACTGTTACCATGAGGAAAGTGATATGCGAGTGGTTTTGATGCGTATTATTTGGCAATAGTATTTCATCATACCTGGAAGGGTTCAGACGGTATTTCCCTGATCCCTGGGATTGGTTTGCTTTCGATTTAGGCCCTGTTAAAATTATAAATGAATCCAGGTGTCACCGAATGCCGAATGGGTCTTCTTATCGTGGAGGCAAATATTTACAAACTGTTTGGGCGGCACTGCGATGGATTGCATGCACATTGCACATTGCACAAATCCTTGATTGCACACTGCACAGCATATGTGCACATTTTGTGGCCTCTTTCATTTCCACCCGGTAGCTATCGCTTGATGGCTCGTTTTCTTGTGATGCCTTATCCGCATTGCCTAAACACAGTAAAATCGTACTCGAAATCTAAAATTGTGCCTTTTTAATTCAACACGGATGCATTTATTTTACGGTGGGCGGTGGCAGTGTGGAACAACCCAGGCAATCGTCGTGGACCGTGGCCAGGTGTGTAGTGTGATATTCTTCCTCATGTCTCGCCGTGGACGGCGCTGGGGCCCTTTCGGTGTCTGCGCTCGGGGTTTTCGTGGCAGCAGCAACCGCGCCATTGATCATCAGTAGCGCTGTGGATTTTTACGGTGTCACGGCCGGCCTGAGCGCCTGCGCCCGCGGTTTTTACGCTGAGCATTCCGCGCAACGCTACGAGCTTTGTCAGGTGCTCGTAAACAAATGTCACGCGGGTTACAGGCACTGGCAATGCACGTGACTTCTCACGGTTGTAGGCTAGGTACTGACTACTGAGGCATAGTGCTGCAGAGACGGGCGTCGCTCGCCATTCATAGTTATTTTTACTCTTATATTTGACTTGACGCTGTCTTAGGATATTTTTTTAGCATCTAAACGTTTCATTAATGTTGTCTTGCACAGGAAAGTGGAAATAGAATTCAACAGATCCCCACCGCTCGGACAAAGAACATGCCGCGCCTTCTGACCAACATCTCCATCCGCGCTCCCGCAACGGGTCGCTCGTTGCCTCCGCCGATTGTGTCAATGAATTGAGGGTCTCTCTGGCTTGTTCCGACCGACCGAGTGGTCGTCTTCAGAGACGAGCAGGCCTCTGAAGCGGCTGACTCACCACTGCCGAGGAGAGTTTCAGTCCCTGAATTGATGGTGAAGAAACAAAGAAATTGAGAGCAACTACGCATTGGAAATAAGTTACGCGCTAATCTATCGCACTATGCTTGCGATCAGTTCCACCCAGTAGGTATTTTCTCAAACTGAACGCGGAAGTCCACTGTTACCCACTGGTCTTCTGACAGTCTTATCCCTCTCTTTGCAGCGTGCCTGGCGGCGGCGGCGCTGGCGCTGGACGACTTCTACTTCTCGCGCCACCCGCAGAACCTGGTGGTGCGCGACGGTGGCAGCGTCGACCTCGAGTGCATGGTCTCCAACACGAGCTTCATCAGGTTCTACTGGCAGCTGGATGGCGAGACGGTGGACAACTCCAGCCGACGCTTTCAGCGCGGCAGCGACCTGCACATCACGCGCGTTGACCGTCGGCTGGACGGCGGACACTTCACCTGCATCGCTATGAATGTGACGACCGGCTTCAGCCTGACCAGTCTGGCGGCCTCGCTCAACATCCAGTGTGAGTACCCGCCGCGGTACCGACCGCTGACCCGCGCGGCATGCTCGACGTTACCTAGCCAGAGTTCTCACTGTGATGTATCCGAGCTGTGAGCTTACCTCACCTCCACCCCATCTCTCGACTGTCCCTCGCCGTCTGTCTCGCTCTGTCTCCGTCTGTCCGACTCTCTCGCCGTGGTGTCACCCCCAGACCCGTCCCCGGGGCATACCGTGCCCGCTAAATGTAAATGGTAACCTGATGTCCAGAGCACGGCCGTGGTTTTGTCACGCCGCCAGCTGGCGGTGGCTCCGTCCAGTCAGCCCTGTCCAGCGACCGTGAGCGACCGACGGACAGACTGCGGGCGGACAGGTAGACGTGAGACGGACAGACGGACGGGCGGACGAAGAGACGAGAGACGGAGAGACAGATAGACTGCGAATGGACCGACGAACGGGCCGACGTGAGACGGACGGACACTTACGGACAAACCGACGGACACGATAACCGAGGCTAAGAAAAAACGGACTATGCGTGCTGTGAGCTCGAACGTTGGCGCGAACTTGTAACGAGTCACTAACATTGACGAGCCACTCGTGATGAGGGCGTATTATAGCACTGCCAGGTGTCCCGGTGATACCCGATACCAGTGGCGGGCCGTGATTGTTTTCATTCGGGAAGGGCATCGTGTCCGATGGCGCCTGAGGGTGCCGGTAAATTGATACCCGGGAGTGCTTGTTAGGAGGTCTGAAGATGGTTACGCTTCTGACGCTTTGTGAGGGGATACAAGAGAGTATCGTTTTCTTGTTTTCTTCATACCGCCATCGATTTTTCCGAAGACGGGAATTCGGTCCCCGTCTCGGTTCCCTCGGACGCGATCATCCCCCGCCTTTCGTTCATTTCCTCGGCGATAGCGCGGCGCACATAACTCTGTCTCCCCTCTATCCGGCTCTGTCCTCTCTTCCCCGCCGCGTCGAATGGCCCTCGGCTCCCTCCCCGGCCCCTCGCCCCTCCTCGACGGGTGACGGGGAGCGCGGCGAGGGCGCGTCGAACGGCGTCCGCGACGGTGCGGCGGCGGCGGCGGGTGTGTGAGCCCGCGGCGGCGGCGGCGGCGTCTGTAAGCCGAGCTCGGTGTGACTCCCGCCCCTCCGACGCCGCCGTTGTCGTTGTCACATCTGGTGATACCGCGGGGTGTGATAGCGGGAGAGGGCGGAAGGGGGAAGTGACACCGGGTCAGCCGACCGGCGCGGTCCCACCGCTCACTCATCATGACACACTGTGTCATGTGTGTCACTGAGTGTCGTGTCACTCCATGACCATGTGCAGAGTGTCGTGTAGCGGTGTTTTCCGTCAGGGCTGGACGCCACAGGCCGTCAAAGCAGAGAGCTCGCTGTGGGAGAGGAACGTCAAAACAACAACACGCTGCAATGCGGTGCCGTTATTTGTATGATATGGCATATGGCTAACGGGATATTTTGCAGCCTACCATGAGGTCCGCGAGACGCTCAATATGTAACGCGACTTATGGGTTGAATGTTTCTCCGTAAGTGATTATCCTGCTCGTATTGCAGACTTGCAGCATTACGCAAATGGCACAGGCAGACAGGGGAGCCCAGTTTATCATCAAAACTAGCCAGCTGCACCGGACATGCGGTCGGTATTTCACCACGTGTTCTTACGACGGGAGCTTTCATTTGAGACACTTGATCTCGTAACTGAGCGAAGAATGTACAGCCAAATGTCTAAATATATACTCATCCATCTCCAAATATACATACGCCAAGATCTTGGCTTGCTCGTTATGGTGATAAATGGTAGTCAGGTCTCGCCAGTCAGCAGCCGGCATGTGTGGTAAACTGAAGCCGCCTTAGCCACTTGACCCGGGGTCAGGTCACCTCCAGATGAGTAGGGTCATGGGGTGCTCGACCCGCTGTCCGCCAGATAGACACCCTTCTCTGAGGGGAGCGAGACGGGAGGGGTGGGACAGGCGGCGGCGGCGGCGGCAGCCAATACCAACACCTCGCGTCTCAGCTCGTCTAAAAGCGGCTGATTAATTTGATCGTTACATCATGCCGACGGCGGCAGCGGCGCGCCGACGCCGACGGTTCCGACGCCGGCCGACCCGCGGCCAGCGGGGGGAGGGGGGGGGGGGGCACACCTGTCGGGCGGTCTCAGAGCGCCAGCGGATAGTGCCGGGCACCGGTGTGGGTGAGACTGTTTTGATAAGATTCTGCCCCAACTAACGTTCTTTCGACATATTACTGCCACCGGTAAATTTTGATCGTTGCTTGTTTTCGTGTCTGTGATCAAAACTACAATGGCAATGATCAATGATAGCACTACTACGAAACAATAGACATTCAAGACATCAACAGGCCGACATCACTATGCGATTTTCTTCCAAATGTTCCCGTTCTTTGACCATTCCGCCTGGCGCATGTCTTTCAGTCCGTTCGTCTCCCCGTCCGTCTCCCCGTCTCTGAGGAGGGGAGGAGAGCGCGCCTCCGCCGGCGGAGCTGTCTGTCAGGGCCGGCCGCCCATCTGGGCCCGGCTCCGCCGCTCGTTACCGGGTTCGGTGCGCCTCTGTTTACCCTGCCGCGCCGGGTACGCCGCGCGGCGCGCCGGCCGTGCTCGCGCGGCCCGTTTGAAGACGCGCGGCGCGCTGCGCTCTTGTTAGGCCGTATGTGACGAGCGCCGGCGCCTCTGTTGCAGGCCGGTAAACAGGGTGCCGCTGCCCGGCCGGGGACGGTTATTTGCTCAGTCGTCGGCTTGTAGCCATTATGAGGGTGTCTGGCGGGCCCGATTACAAACAGGCTGCTGGGATGGCCGCGCTGGCGAGCTCCCTGGCTCTGTGCTCCGCCGCGTCATGGTAGCGGAGACACATAAACTCTGCCGCCTTCTTTGTCCCGTTACCCTCCCTGAGACAGTCGAGACTCGAGTCCCTTGTTCTGTTCTCCGTCACATTCGACTCGTCAGAGTCCGGCGTTCAATCTGCGTGTGCCAGTCTCGGAGGTCGTTCCAGAAACCCCTTCTCGGCTGGCGCCATATTGGCTGCTCTCGTTTCTGACACGGTTCCTGCTCTCCGCTGTTCTTACGACGTCCTAGCGAATCTCACTTCGTCGCAGGGGGAGTCCGGAGTAGGTCTCATTCCGTCTCACCTCTCATCTCAACCACTCCGGCTTGTCCCAGCTTCCCGTCCCACACCCAGCTTCCCGTCCCACATCCTGCACCCGGGCCCGCGTGTCGCGCCGGCCGTCCCGCTCCGTCCTGTGTGGGCCGGCGCTGTGTGGCCCAGATGGCGTCAGTTTACGACGTCCGCCTGTGTGCTCAGGTATACGACGTGTCATAAAGACAGCCCGCATCGATCCTCTGTGAAACAATCTGTCTCCCGTCGCCCCTAGCCCGCGCGCCCCGTGCCAGCGCGACGCGTCCGGTCGGCGCGGCTCGTTTACGCGAACGGCCTGCACCCTGTCCTGTGTCGGTGCCATATGGTGCAATGGGCCGCGGTGCCTGGAGGCGAAATGGTGTAAATAGCGCCGCCCACCGGCCGCGGGTGACACTCGTCGTCTTTGTGCTCTGTGGAGACGGTGACTCGTGCCGCAGGGATAGTCCCTACACATTTACTGAGGTCGCTCGCTTTAGAAGGCTGAAGTATGTCGCTGCATAGCTCGTACCCGGCAGCAGTAACTAAATATGTCTCAAATATAGATTCTACTGCGGGATTAAAATTGTTTTATCACTCTGCAATTTCATCGGCTGATACCACAACATGATGTAATCGCGGCTGCAGTTTTCAGTGCTCGTTTTCCGCGACCGGCCTTCCGCGATTGTGCCGGGACGTCGGCTGGTGGCAGCTCGGACTGCACCTCCTGTCAGCCCGGTGACAGTGTGTGACAGTGTGTGACAGCGGCAACTGTCACCTGTCGGCAGAGAGATTCCTGGCGCGGCTGGCTGGCGGCGCCGGTGGCGGCTATCGGACCATCGGGACCGGGCGAGCGCTCGTCTGTCCGCCCCGTCTGCCCGTCTGTCCGCGTGTTTGTAGGTGTGCCTGTCTTCGTTTCTGCCTGCGAGATCGTTGTTATGTCTTCATCCTCTTGCCTGTTTCCGTGTCTGTCTTCATGCACTGGTCTGGCAGTGTGACAGTCCGCCCTGTCCCCATCCTGTCCCTTGTCTGGGAGTGGCTGCTCCCCAGCCCACTCTGTCCCCTGTCTGTCTGCGTTACCACCCGTCAGTGTCAGCCGTTCTCTGTGACACGGGCGGTGGTCGGCGCAGCTGCAGGGCGGACAGGGTTGACCTGCCACGCCCCGAACTCCTACCGTATGAGGCGACCGAGCCTGCCTTGCCGTAGCATTGGCGAGCCGGGGGTATCTGAAGTCGGTACGGGCCTCTGCCCGCTTGGATGACTGCCCACTGCTGAGGCTGCGTTTCCGGCCCAGTACTGCTAGGTGCCAAATCGGAAATTGACCTAGACTTATAGTTCTGTTTGGGAAATGGGAGGGATGTGCAAACGGTGTTTCTATTAGCGGAGAATGTAGTTCTTGATATCAGGCGTTTGTAGCTGATCACGGATCTTGTTCCGTTTGTAGATTCGTGGTGCTCCAAGGATGTTGAGAATCATAGCGTGAGCTCAACTTTAGGGGATATCTACATATATGTAGTCATGACCAGTGTTTTGCTCAACCACTTTCTAAAGGATTTTCTGGTTTGGCTCGCCAAAGTGTACTTATTTCTTGATTTCAGTACTATGATCATTAGGTAGCTGATACTTGATAGTGGTACCTAGTAGGTAGCTGACAAGAATGTGTACAGTTCCAATGCGCCTGCAGTCCTACAGTTTACAACGTTTCGATCTGATAGTCGGTGCGCTCATGTCGAACTACTAATTGGAATCGCGATAAATCAGCCACGTTTGTAAGCCTGTCGTCGCCGCGGCCGCGGTGGCTTTGCGGTCGATGTGAATCCTTGCCGGCCCTGACTGGGGCGCCTCTGTCACATGCAATGCGACAAACTCCGCCGGCTCCAGC